AATTTGGCTTAATCAAGTGAAGGTGCTTATGTCCACAACACAACACAATGTGTAAAAATATATAAAAAAAATTAACTATCTCTAACTTGCAGTTGTGCAAATTCTTATTCGAACAAAACGTTATTCCAATAATTCGTCCACAATTCATTCGAATAAAAAACCGTTTTCCTAAAATATATTATATTAATTTTATATATTTTTTACACGTTGTACATATTACATTTATACGAAGTAGTTTTTTAATATATAATTATTTTTGAATTATTCGAATAATTTTTAATTCAAATAAAATATTATTCATATAATAACTATAATTGAAATTTTAATAACATATTTTAAAAATAAGATTTGTTTGTCTAAACTAAGATTTTCAAATTACTCGGTTTCGATGTCCATTCAAAAACTATTTTTATAATTAAAATATCTTCTCCGCTTTGCATCGAAGCTAAAATATATAGTTTTTTTTTTAAATCTGTACCTTAACATATAATTGGTTACTTTTCGGTTAAAAAAAATGTCTACCTAACCTGTTTAAATAATATGTTTGAAAAGTATTCAAATGATTGAATGAAAAGTTATTCGAATAATTATGTTTTGAATTATTCAAATAACTAAATCATTCTTTTAATAATTATTTGAATTGTTATTTTTTGGTATGATTCGAATAACTTTTACTAAATAATTTGTTATCCATATGATTATTTAGATACTTAACGTTTTTATGCGAATGATGCACAACTCTGTAAATAACGTTTGGCCAAATCTATAAAAATATGTTTAAAATTAAAATGTAAACGAGGAAAGGTAAGTGGTTAATAGTTATCACTATGTTCATGGTATTGATGATATGATGCGGTAGTATATTAGGCGCACCACAAAATATATTGTTCTTAAACTAGTATTTATCAACATGCTTACATACTTGTTACGTAAGCGCTACATTCAATTTCTTTAATTCATTATTTGCTAGTGGTAAACCACAGTCTACAGTAATGTATACAACAGAATATACCGAGTGTCCCATTTAAAAATACTAATATAATTAAATTAGGTGTTAAAAACACCTTTAATAAAAAAAAAAATATAGAGGACAAGATTTTTAAAGGAACCTGGTATGCGTTTTTCAGAGTATTAATACGAAAAACAATTACGAGGGTTTAAGAAAATATTTTGCAAATTGCGTTTTTTCTTATAAAAATGTCTTTTTTTTAATTTGATATTGTGGTAGAATATTGGCCAAGTATGCATACCGGAACGTACTGTAATAAGAAAACATAAATTTGTTTCTACTAGAAAAAGAGCCTAGTATAAATGTTATTTTATAAACCAAAGTACAACTGAGATTAAAAAGTCTTACAAAGTAAAATATTGTGATGACTACTTTTGAAGTGTTGTAACGTTCTCAAAGTTTATACCTATTGTTTTATATCTGACACTTTTTTTTAATTTTTTTATTAGCCTTTATTAGAAAATATGATGGCTCGACAATTACAAAATCTGACACTTTTATTTTCGGTTTTTCTTGAAGTATGTTTATATAATAGTGTATTGTGCATGATATTGAACGTAGAAAATGTTACATTTCATACACACAACAATTATTTAATAAATATGAACTTTCGAATTTAAAAGTTTTTTGATTAGAACAAAGGCTCTACAACTATTAAAAAGTTTCTTGGGCTAAATTAAAATTGAAAGTAAATGGTAGACATTGGGCAAAATTATAAAGTTTTCGTTACATGAAAAAATTATATCTAGAAAAAAGGTTTTTTCGCTAACTCCTGGATAAAAAAACAAAAACTGGAAATTGGGCCCATAGCCTAACGAGCGTCTCAATTGCACATGACAAAATCAAGATTTTGCAAAACATTGCTTACACCCAACTCCTTAATAAATAAGGGGTATGACGTCCTCACTCGAATCACACTACGGTGGTATATATTTGGCTGTTAGAAAATACATTACAATGCAGACTCAAATACACTATAAGTATATACCGGCAGTGTCGTGTCGACACGGGTCCGAATGAGCTTCGTAAGGCGTTTGGCACGGAGTGAAAATATCTTATATTATATTATAACAACATGATATAACTTTGTCGTCCTGCTAAGTCCACGGGTACGACGGACACGAAACGGTCGTTATTATTATTATTACTGTTGTTATTATTTTGTCGACATCGTGCCCGGATAGTCGTTTTGTTGTCGGACAAAAACGAGGAATTGAAAACTAATTGATTCAATCGAACGGAAAACACGTTAACCACCCCCGTCCCCACTAGGTCGTTTTATAATATAAAACTTGCAAGAGAACACATACATACAGTCACACTGTACACTGTAAAACACACAAATGCTCATATACAAGGTGTGACTGAACATAGGAACTCCGCAGTGATAGTACAAAAAGAGATAATATGGTTGTCCACGAGATTGTAACAAGTATTGTCAAGTTGGACCGCAACAACCAGGGATGGGAAAATTCAAAATATCAAGATAGAGTCGAGTATAAGGACTGCCTATAATAGTTGATCGAATATTCGATGGTTGTACTTTACAAAGAAACTTTATAAAAAATTTAATTTCACAAATATATTTTGCAAAAATTTTACAACCCCTACAAAAATATTATGTATTTTGTATCTTAAGAATCAAGATAAAAACTACAAGGCACAAAACAGTATTCAGAATACTTATATTACTGGATCTTAAATATGCACAACACCGTCAAGTATGATATCAAATTTTGGGTCTGAAACATGATAAAATCGTATACTAGAATACATCAGCTAACCTTGTTATTTATGACATCCAATTTAAAAAAGCCAATATTGTGGGGTTGGGCCATAGTGGGGACAAAACATATGGAACGAGGGAGGTCACAGATCTATAGGAATTTTTTTAAACCACTTTTGAATAAAATCTCCTATAAGCATAGCTTATCTGTATATATGTGTATATATAAATAAAATAATTGTCAATAATATACTTAAAATTGTATTTTTGGATTAAGGTGGATACCATTGGGGTTGACACACTGTTATCTGTTGATTCGATTAACGATTTAATCATAGCAACCTAGATAATATGGTCTAAGTGTAATTCTTCATTTTTTCGGGATGTTTCTTTAATAAAAAAAATAAAAATATTCGACTAGAGACTGTTGAGAAAATTGTACATGTCATAGCCCCACACCAGATTTTTCTTTTCAGGGCTTAAATCTTAAAAGCTTGACGGTGAGAGAGAAATACAAAAAAAAAAATTTAACCCCTTTAGGCAAATGGGGTTTTGATATTTTTTGGGTTTTTCAAAATATGTTGATAGTACCTACTTTACCTGAATGTAATATATGTATATAGCAGTAAAAGAAAAAATGATTCAACCTCTGAATATAATATAGTATATTTTTTAATTACGTGTCACCATCTATTGGTTTGAAAATGAAACTTAGTCTTTGGTAAATGAAATAGTATAATTTTGTCAAAAATCTGGTTTCGTTATCAGTTGTCTTTGCGCAGTTAGCAAACGCCAAAAAAAAAATCAAATTTTCGAATTTTGGCAACAAAGAAAACTTCACAATACATAGGTTTATTATACGAACCAACTAGTCAGGACTTTTTCATTCCAAAAACAAAGTATTACAATTTTAACATTTCAGTGTCAAACAAAAGCGTTGTCGACAATTTTAGGATTTCTAAAAAAATATGTAAGACCTGAACTTCTTAAAAAATAATGAGTTTTTTCTAAAATATTATAAGAATTTAGTCAAATATCTACAATGCATGATGAATATAATAATATAATTTAATGTAGATTTTTATATAAACAGCGCCCTCTTGTTGAAAATCGTTGTACGGTCTTATGATCCATTGGCTTTGTATAGATCTCGCTGTTGTTTACATCTAACATATTTATATTTTAACAGCAAAGGTGCATATACCTATTTATCAGACATCAAAACGGTTTAGCCTACATTTTTAAAAACAAAAGAAACTCAACTATGACCCATACACCTAAGCATTAAAAAATAATTATTTGCGTTAAAAAAGAGGATCTTTATTAGTTATGAACGTATACAAATTGAAAAAACAATAAAGTGATTTAAGAATGATTCTACTTCAATTAATACTTTCACAACTTTTGTACTCACTTATGTGTCTATCTGGAATTGCCTAGGCCAGTTATGACCATTATAAGACTTAACTTCAAGACGAAATGATTTTATTTAAGTTTGAGTTAAGTTAACGCGCGTGAAGGATTTGGTTAAACATTGAATTTTCTGTGTAAATACCAAGTCTATTCCTAGTTCTTGAATTGATACCTTTCAGTTATTTAATTACCTACTGTTTTTATTATAATAATAACATTAGTTGGTTGTACACAAAACGGTCTTATGGTATTTATTTAAACATCATTTGGTAAGAGTTGATTAATTTGGAATTGAAAAAATAAAATAAATAGTGTCTTTCATTTTAGTGGTCAATTGTAAGGAAAAGTAAAGGAAGTTTAGTTTGATAAATGAAGTTTTGTGTTGCTATAGGTCATAAGTTTTTTACTGTAATAAGTTCCTTTTTTTTTATAATATTGCATAATATTATAACATTACTTTCCGGCCTCGGAATATTATCATAGGATTTATTACATATTTATACAGATCAGTGTGTTTGAAAAAAAACGCCTAACATATGACATCATACGAATAAAAAATTGAATTGAATTCTTTTAACCAAAGTCAACGATATGGTTATATGGAAATTATTGTTTTTTTTTCGAGTTTGTATTAGCTTACTGTGAAATATTTCAAACACAAAGCAATAATAATATTATGTAGCTCGTTGATGCAGTGATATTTTATTTAATGAGTTTTTTTTTCGTGCATGACTTAATTTTTTCTTTTGTTTGATTCTTTGACGTTAAATATACACACATCCGATTGCAAATAAAAGTGTTACAATACATACCTATTATATTATGTTGCATGCATTATGTGCGTACACTCGACGTTACCCAGTTACTTGGTTGACACAGTTGTACAGTTCCTACCATTTAGGTCATTTTCGTACACTTGTGTGATTCACAATATTCTTTGCATGCATGATATTGTAATACAGAAATGTTGACAATAATCTAATCTAATAGGCACAAGTTCGGTATAACAGTTTTTCTTGATTTTCCACAGTTATACCTAATTGTTAAACACCGAATTACTTATTTTTCTCTTTTTTTTTTTATAAAAAAAAATTTGAATTTTATAATTTGATTTGATAAAAATGAATTTGATGCAATGCATTGCGGTTTATGCGGTGTTCTTGTCGGTCGCGTTGGTACAAAACATTGATGGCAATTTGTTTGGTTTGTTCGGGAAGAAGAAAGAAGGACCTGGATCGACAACAGCAAGCCAAATAACTCCCCTAACGGCCACCACAACTATTCCAGAAAACAAAGTGCCAGACGCAGGCTCGAAAACCGGTGGCCGCGGTATGTTTGGTATGTTCGGGAAGAAGAAAGGAGATCCTGGATCGACAACTCCCCATACGGCGGCCACCACAGCTGTTCCAGGCAACCAAGTGCCAAATCCAGGATCGAAAACAGCTGGTGGCGGTGGTTTGTGTGGTTTGTTTAAGAAGAAAAAACCAGTCGCATCGACAATTGCAAACGAAATCCCAACGGCCACAGTTATTCCAAGGAAGATAGAAGAGATCGGTTTTGAACATAAAGATGCCGAAAAACATGTATACATAGTGGGCGCATACGAATACACGGCTACAACGTTTTTTAAAGTCCTCACCGGTCGAGTAGTGGACGAAAGTACAGTTGAAGAAACGGATGTATCTGTCGAAGGAAGTTCAAGCAGTGGCGGTTCGTCGTCCAGCTCGTCCAGCTCGTCCAGTTCGTCCGGTTCGTCCAGTTCGGATGAAGAAAAAAAGTAAACAGTATTACTAGGTTATTAGCCATTTAGGTGGACAAACCCATTGCCAGTGCTTCCCCGTCGTTCTCTATTCCAAGTTCATTCGAGTCCTTGACCTCTCCAACCTTCCAGCTTTGTCCAGGTCGTCCTCGTGGCACTCTGCTAACAACATACATGATAATGACATTCGAATAAATTTGTTTATATTTCAGGAAAAAAAAGGGCAAGAAGAAAGAAAAGAGTAACAAGGATAAAAAGGATAAAAAAGATAACAAGGGTGACAAGGATAAAAAGGATAACAAGGGCGATAAGGGTGACAAGGGTGACAAGAGTAAGAAGGACAAGAAGGATAAGAAGGATAAGAAGGATAAAAAGAATAAAAAGGGTAAAGAAATAGAAAACAATGCCGAGGAAGATACAACAAGCAAAGGTGATTGACAAATTATAATAAATATGGTGACTTCTAGTTTTACACATTTTAGATGTTTCCTCGAATAAATATTATTACACGTTTACTTGTTTGTGAATAATTTTGTTCTCATTCAAAATTTTAGCCTTGCAACCGATTTTCAAGTGTATCGCGCTTTTAGAAAATAATTTTACAGTAGTTTTATTTTTTTTTTCTATTTAAATGGTTAACATTTTTAGGACCAACCTTTATGGATCGATTAAAATCACCTTTTGCTGTGATCGGAAGTTATCTACCTTCTACTTATCCGGTTGCTGGTTTACATTAAAAAAAAAAAAAAAATGAAAATATAAACATTATTATGAATTGTAAATTATGAACTGTTTTATTTTAGCCCTCTACAACTTTATTTAGCTTTCTCCTGCGTATTCACCTAGTAACCTTCGCTTAAACGACATTAAGTAAATGAACAGAGTAGCCATGAAACATAGACAAAAATTGAAAAAAAAGGAAATATCTGCGTTCTGGCATCACTGTCTATTTCTCAATATGTCTGATCGCTTTATTTGATAAACTCTATTACATTCCCTTCTGTTTGTTCTTTGCTAAAACCATTATGTGTTTAATTTAAAAAAAATTTATATATATTATGTATTTATCATTTTTTTGTTATCATTTGTTATCAATTATCACCACAGCATAACCAGAAGGGAAACTTTAAAAGTAATTACACGAGTTCTTAGGAGTCGCCCAAAATGGCTGTCTGCTATATTGTTCTTGCGGTTGGGAGTTAGACTATAATAGATCATGTATCTATTATATCCATCAGACTATAATTATAGATCTGTCAAACATGATAGCTGTACTTGATGAGCAAAAACAAAATGTCGGACGTTTATCAGTCCCGTCCTAGGTTGCTCTTCTGGTTTTTCTGTGCTATCACTAACAGTAATTAAAAAACTAACCGACAGAACAATATGATAAGTTGTTTTTTTCTTGTATTTCACGGTTGTACTAGAAAAAAATTCAGTACCTCCTTAAAAATAAAAAAAAAGTAAAAACAATACATCAAGTACAAACAAAAAAAATTATATATAGTTATGATTATAACAACCAATGCAAAGTGAGGGCCAGTGATAATTTCAAGGTGAAAAACAAAGAAATGGAAAAACTCATTTTCCAAACACTTTGATTTTTAAAGACACTGCATGTCGCTTTAAGAGGGCACAATCCACCCCCCCCCCCCAACAAGTGCACAGGGTTATTTTTTTACACACTTGGAGGCCACTCGATATTTAATTATTGATTGCAGTTAAACAGTTAATGAAATTTATGCGTTACCATTTCAAAAGTCGATATGAAAATAATTAGTTTGGGAAGGACATAGAAATTTGTGGAAAATTGAGATCACATTTGTATAAAAAAAAAACACTATGGAATAAAAAAATTCAACTATTAACTAAACCCAGTGAGATCAAAATTTGTAAAAAGGCTATAGGGCTCCCTCCTCTCTACCCAAAAATTCATCATGCTACATGCCCCCATGTTTTATTTACACAATCCAAATGGAATAATCGATTATTGATTAGAATTTATCAATAAAATAAATATTACAGCCCCACCGACGGTGTTGTGTTGACAGTCTTAACGATGTACGGTGTGTGTATCTTGTGCTCAAGGCGAAAACCGTAATCTGTGTGCACAAGTAAAATTAATTGTTTGCTCGTTTTGCACAGTTGTTGTTTTTGACACTGTACAGCACACACACACACATATGTATAGGTGAAAGGTGCGAAAACACGGTTGTTATTGGCGACATGTTCGAGCAAAAACACCGTCTAACGTGCGTAACCACAGACTCGTTCGGCCCCAGCAGCAGCAGCACTTGGAGAGGTGCAAATATTTACCTTCGAAGTTGGCCTAGAAATATTTCTACTTACTATAGAGCTGCTATATAGCGCCGAATAGTTTTGGTTTTGATTTGTCAAGACAATTGTCGCAAAGTCGATCGATACTGACGGTTTTTTTTTTCTTAATACTATTTTTTTGCTCGACCATGTGTGGCGCACAAAGCGTTTGGTTGCTGGCGTTGTGCGCGCTGTGTGCGTTGATCCAACCCGGTCTATGCCCGTTTTCAAAACTGAAAAATAAATTACTCGGAAGGAAAACAACGACGTCGGAAGTCGCCGCCGGAAGTGTGGCCGGCACCGGCGGCAACACCACCCCCCCATTTGGAGTTAAGACCATTGGAATGGAGCCCAGATCGAAGTGCCCACAGGCTGCGGACCGAATACACTTGGACACGCCGTTCTATCAAGTCCTGACCAGGGACTTGCCCACGGCCAACGTCGAGGTGATCGAAACCCCCCCGGTTTTGGGCTTCGGCGTGTATCCTAAGCGCAAAACCACCGAAACCACCGATGGTGCTCCTCCTGCGGTTGTTTTTGAAAAATCAACAAGGTAATATTGCACAATATTATATATATATATATATATATAGGGTGTGTGGCTTGGGTCTAGAAAGGTGGAATCTCGAATTTCGGTCAAAATGAGTAGGTTAGGTTAGTTGTAAGTCTATTATTTAAAAAAAAAAATTGTAATTATTAAGAGTTTAAGCAAGAATATCATAAAAAAACCAAAACTGCTTTGAATCGAAGCTAAAAAGATCAAGAGTGTATGAAAACCTGTCCTGAAAACCTCGACCCGAGTCACAGATATTAATCAGTAATTAATAATTATTATTATAGACAATATACAAAAACATACAACGCCATTTAAATCTTATAGCAAAAAAATATTTCTTACTTTAAAAATAAATAAAATAACTGAGAAAAAATAAAAACTAATCCAAAATTAATTTCAAGGGTCTTTTAGCACCTCTTTAGAAAAGGTTATACCTGACCTATCGATTAAGGAGTACTCTTTGATAAACTGTTTTTTTTAGTTAGTAAAATTAAAAAAAATGCTTTTGACGGGGTCTTGATGGTATAACAATAGTCAAAAATGAAAAAATAAAATTCACAGTAAGGAGTTCTCTTAACTTAATACAGATAAATAAACAATAATAGTGATAGTGGGGTGACTTCTTTATTCTTTAGTTTGATATTAAATCTCGGTTGTTTCCTTTTTCAGAGTAATAGCTTTTACTTTTTTTACTTCCCATGTTGTGTTCAAAACATGTAAAATATATGTATGTGTTAATAGAATTGAAATTTAACTGTGAAAAATTAAAAAAAAAAAATTAAACTATTCGTTATCTGATATGTTTGGTTATTTTTTGTAGTTTTAAACAAATCATCAACAAATCAATTTGTAGTGTACAGATGTTATCTTAAGACAATTTTTTTTTTTTTTAATTGAGTTGTTTATAGCAAAAAGCCTTTTACACATTGTGTACATCTGTTGAAAGCCAACATAAACCATAAAACGTTAAAACTGAGTTCTTGTGAGAATTATATTTAAAAAAAAATCCCCTTGTGGCATCTGTAAATTTTAATATTGTTATTATTATTACTGATAACATTGAATTATATTTATTTGAATTTTTCTATTACAGCAAAGTAAGAAAACATTACGGATTGCAATGATACCGTTCGTTGTCAAGTAGAAGAAGAAGAAGAAAATCCAAACTATAAAAACAAAATTCACGTTGCTAATTTGTTTTATGTGTAAAGTACAATATAAAATTAATACTTTAAGAAACTGTAATTCATATTGAATGTGATAATAAAACATAATATAATAGTGCCATCGTGATGACACCATACGCTTAAATTATAAATGTGTATAATATTTCCCCATGCGTCCTTGATTTGCAAAAATTGTTATAATTAATATTTTCATTATTTCCCAAATGGTAATAACAGTTTCATAAATCATATTTATATTGGCATAAGTCGTTTTTTTTTTTAATATCTGATTTGTGTTTTTGACTTATCAAGTGTGTGTAATAAAATCAACATAACAGATTTGTCATTAATAATAATTCAAAGTACACAGTTGAAACAAACATGAAAAATCGTTTTGTATAAAACTATACAGGTAAAAAAAAAATGAGTGCACCAAATAAAATCAACAAGATAATATTTCATTCGCTTTAACCTAAATTAAATTGTTTTATATTGTTATCAATGATTTTTTTTTTGTTTGTTTGTTCTATTTGCCCAATTGCCTTCCCTAGTCTTCAACGACAATTATGATCCAACCTTTTATAATATTATTACCCATGTAAATTATTTAATCTCGTTTTGTCTAGCTCATATTGTAAGTAAGAAGTAATAGTATATTTAAAGTGTTTAAGTTGTTTATTAACTTTCATTGAAAACAATTATTTTGGGTATACTTTAATAACACTGTTTAAAATTAAAATGCTTTTATGTGTTTATGTCTTAGGCCTATTTTTTGTACACATTATGATTAAAAAAAATTAAAAAATAGGATTTAAAATCATAAAATAGTTACAGATTATTAACTAACATTCTTACTGTGCCTAACTCTCCCTCTTTTTAAACAAACTGTTGCCTTAATTGTCGATTCGCCTGCATAACAGAACGCTAATAAGAAATCAATAAAAAAATAATAATAATAAAACCAATAATGAAAACTATATTTGGAAGAAAATGTTTGCAAAAAAAAAATATATAATTTGAAAAGCAACATATGACAATAAAAAATAAAAGTAGAATTATTTACTGAAGAAGAGTAGTAATTTTAGACTAAAAATGTAATTATCTTAGATTGATTTTAGTTTATTTAAATTAATGTTCAATGAAGGATCAACTATTAAACGTTACTTGTTCGGCCAAATTGCATTTTTTAAATTTAATAGCATTGACTTTCAAGTAAAAATGGTAAGCACAAAATTTGCATTTGCCTCAATATTTCATCCACAAAAATAATTGTCCAATGGTCAGATGTTCAGTATGTGTAAATATGCAAATAACATTTGAAGGGCACGGGGGAAGAAGGGTAGTAGTCCATTTATGAACATTTTTTTTCAAACAGTTTTTTCAATATATGCCATAATTATTTTTATTTATGTCAATAGATTGTTTAAATAAATACATTTTTTAGTAGAATAGCACTTGATGTTATTTTTTTTTGTTCTTATGTAAGAGGAATTCACGAACTTTGTTTTTGCTATACTTTAAAATGTTCATACATGGACTACTACCCTTCATCCCCTGTGCCCTTCATTTGCTCTTATCCTAGGCTACATGAAAACAGCTACAGCATCACATGACTGAAAACGAAATCAGTGTGACCACAGATTCAAGCGTAAAACGTGATAATATTATCACAGATTAGATAAAAAGGAATCTCGCCTAACCTGTGATAATATGGTCATTTATCATAAAATTTTGCGTCGAAGAAGGTTGCGATTTTCAGTGCAGCCACTTTAGAAAATACCTATAGTTACGGTAATTGGTAACTAATTGTGGTGACACTACCTGTGTTATCATTAAATGGGTCGTTTATTGTAAAAGGGGTGTAGCTCCAAATTTTTAAATTATACATATTTTTGCTAAATGCAGTCACATCTTTCATTATAAAAAAGAAGCAACTCCAATAAATGCAAAAAAAAAAAAAATTTTAAAAATAGAAAACACTAAATGAATACTTATACTAAGATAATATCATCTTAAACCATACTTATCACAATATTAAATTATGGAAGCAGGTTGTGAAAACATATATTTTTAAATGTACAGTATTTTTTTTTAATGGACAACAATAATGTTTCCCAACAATGTGTAATGCGAGCCATAGTGGGCACGGCTCCTCTACATTACTCTATGGTTATCAATTAAATATTATGACTGATAAGGAGTGTGTACAGTAATATTGTAAGACATCTGCTCGATAATTCATGCGGCTACACTGATCTGCTCGCGACTGATTGGGAAGGGTTTTTTAGAAATGTCTATTGTTTTTTTTTTCTGTCTATCTGTTTTCGTAATAATAATATAGCTGTGTTTTTTTTATCGTGACAAGTTAGTTACTAACGTCCAAAACACAGTAACTAGCGTTTAGACAATTTTACAGGACAGCCAACCGGTAAAAACCTAGTACCTATATTTTGTTATCACAGAATGATAAGCCGGCTAATAATAATTGGCTCTCCAGTAAAATTTGTCTGTAATAGCCGAGGCTTACACACAGCGACGGGCGTGTAGGAAATCTCTAAGTTTTATAGTAAAATAAAATCATTAGTTGACATCAGTTTGGCGGGCTGCCAGCTGGACTAGTTCTAAATTTAAATTGACGGCATCCACGAGCAGACGGTCGGGCCGAACGGATAGTGTGTTTCTAGTGGTCGTCGCGAAACCTACAATATTATTATTACCGTCACAATAACATAACAATAATAATAATATGATCTCGTTATGGCAAATAGCGTTGCTGTTCGCCGTTTTTTGTCGGTCAAAAAATGTCATCGACGGTTACGTGGACAACGGCACGGCGGTGCCTCTCACCATCGGTAAGGTGTTTTGTTACAAGACTTTTAGAATCAAGATGTTGTTGTGTAGAAAATAATAACAATAACATGTTCCTTTGCGACAGTGGGACTTTTCGACAGCGAAAACAGCATCGAACGGCAAGCGTTTGAATTGGCCGTGCAAAAAGTCAACATAGATCCGGCGTTGTCCGACGTCTTCTTGAAAGCTCAGATCGAAGTGATCGACTATTCGGATTCGTACAAATCCAGCCTGAAAGGTATATTCTTCATTTGCATACACTGTGTGACACTATCACAGACACTATTTATTCACGGATAGCAGCTACATATAGCATGACTTGCAATAGGATCAAATGGGGTCAGTTCTGGTCATTTGAACTAATATCGATAAACTTACTTGATCTTGCTTAAAAGGAAACTCAATAATTTGTGTGGATGAACCTCGTATGCGGTTGGCATTATCTACAATACATAAGTCAATATTATCAATGCGAAAATACATTTTTTTTTTTTTAAATCTTTGTAACTGTTTTTCTTATAAATATTCTGAAAAACCCATACCGGGTTCCTTCGGAAATCTTGTCCTCTTCCATTTTTATTAAGAGGGCGTCGCACCGGTGATTTTCAGTGGTAAAAACATGTTTAAGCAAACTGAAAATAACTCGCTTAATTTTGGATTTAAAGTAAAAGCACCCATTGTAAAATTAAAAGAAAACAATATTCCGGAGGGCAAAACGGTGTGTTTTTTAAAAAAAATTAATTTTTTGAAAAGTTACAGTAATTTAAAAATGTTAAAATAGTCGTTATTTTTAAACTATGTATTGAGCGTTATACTTAGAATAATAAAAAAAACGGACCGTCTTGCCCTCCGAAATATTGTTATTGTTCTCTTTTAATTTTTATGATGAGTGCTTTTACTCTAAATCCAAAATTAAGCGAGTTATTTTCAGTCTGCTTAAACAAGTTGAAATGAAAAAACACTTTTAAATCGCTTTCAAGGATCCTGTGATAGTCCAAAAAATAAATTAACTACCAAAATAGAGTCCTAGTTATTGAACTAATAATTACACATCACAGTTTAACCTTTAAATTAAGATTTTATAAAAAATTGCCTATACTTTACTCCTTAAAAATAGGCAGTGCGACGCCCTCTTAAAGATGTCTTACCTCTTAATACTTTAAAAGGTACTTTTACCTGTAAACATGTTTTTTGCCTTTTTTAAGATATAAACAAAATCCAACAAAACACTTGGTTAGCTCAGCGTGGTCTCTGAGTAAATAAAACAGCAAAGCATTTTATAATAAAGAAAGATGTGATATTATATCATGGGAGTTAAATAATATGATCTAAATAATACACACCGCCACCAATAAATAAAATTTGTGTACATTTTAATTTAATTTAGCTTTTCGGAAGCAGGAAAACAGACAACAAACTTCCTGTCAGTAAACTTAATTTAGTTTTTACAAGACAGATTTTTTTTTTCATGTTTACTAGGGCGATTGTTATTTAGGTAAAGTCTTATATTTTATGGTACTGCACGCCTCTCTTGTTCCTGAGTAAAAATGTTGATCACAACTGACCTAAATATATTTGAAATGGCTTAGGAAGTTCATATTGGGATTACCCTTTTTTAATTTAGAATAAATGGGAGAAGGTGGCACCATAGAAATTAAGACATTCGCTTAAATAACAGTTGCCTTAATTGTTGGCCAGAGTGATGTATTATTTAGATTACATTATGGTATTATAACTTAATTCCTTTACGATATTACATGTTTTTAAGACTTTTGTATAAACACTTTTGTTGTTTATTGTTTACTTAATGACCATTGACACTGAGCTAACAAAGACTGTGTCTTTATTAGGATATCAGTATTCGTTTTATATATTGGTAAAAATGACAGGCAGAATTTATTACTTTATTTCAGAATGTACACATAATAAAATACAAATATATCGTTATTAACTTGTAAAAAATTATTATTGAAATTCGAACACCTGGCAATAGAGGCAACAGACGCGTTAGTCATAAAATGGTTTGTTGTATGAGTTGTGGCGTATCCCCACTATCATTTTTTACTTGATAGTTTTAACCGTGAAAAGAAGTACCTCGAGGTTTCGACATTTTTACTTGTAACTAAGAAAATATTTTCGTCAATCCGATTTTTAAACAGAACTTTCCCAATCTACTGACACCTCAAAATAAAAGGGCAAAATGTATTCGGCCTTACAATTAGATACAATAACCATGTTGTTGTATTGCTGGGGTATACCTAACAAAGTACCCAAACCTATTCAGATTAACAAATATGATGTAAATTTATAAAACGCCTAATGTTATGGGTGAAATCATTTATTTTCCATTGGCATTTTTACACTCAAGAGTGCAGTATTTTTGTTTAAGTTTGCGAAACACTAGACTCCGGCGTGAGGGCAGTGTTTGGCCCGTCTCACTATGAGTCGGCAAACGTTATACAATCAATGTGTGAAAAAATGAACGTACCAAGGATAGAGACCAATTGGGAGAACACGCCAATTGATCAGTTCGACTACTACTTCAGTCCGTATCCCGAACCCAAGATACTGGCCAAGGTAAGTGTTATATTCATATTAATCATGATCAGATTGTTTATTATCGTTTTGCCAGGGTTACACGGCCATAGTAGAAGACATGGATTGGTTGTCGTTCACGTTGCTGTATCAGCGGACACAGGGTTTGCTAAAACTACAGCACTTGATCCAACATTACTCGGCCAAGACCAAGCCCAACGACAAACAAGCGGCCGCTATCAATATCATACAGTTGCCCGAAGACAACAATTTCAGGCAAGTAAACGTTTAAACAATTATTTTCCAAAGACATGACAATATTATGTTATTATATTAGACCCATATTGAAAGACATTAAGAAATCGTTGGAAGGTCACATAGTGTTGGACTGCGACACGGATTTGATATTGCCCGTGCTGAAACAAGCAAAAGAAGTCAACTTGCTGGACGACTACCATAGTTTTATCATTACTTCTTTGGTAAGACAAAACAACTTAAGAAGGAATTATTATTACCTACTAATTTTTACGGTGCAGGACGCACATACGGTAGACTTCAGGAGCTTGGGCCGAAGCTCGCGCACCAACATCACCACCGTGCGGCTGATCGATCCCAAAAATCCCGAGGTCGAGACCATCATACAAAATTTAAATTTCGCTCAAAGAAGACTCAACCTGAACATCCCTCCGTTTCGGGCCGACACCATTACAGCGAACGCGATACTCATATACGATGCGGTTAATATGCTTGCCAAAGCCCTGCACGGTATTGGCGGTACGTCCAAGATCACGGCCGACTCCCTGCAATGTCAAAATGCTCCATTCACAAGCTGGTCCAAGGGATTCGAACTCATCAACTACATGAAAGTGGCAAGTAGTCCTTTGTAATTAAATACCTACCTCGGTATGTCTTCTTCTTTGTCTTCGCCTTACGCTCCCAACTACATGGAGTCTGTCACCCTAGTCCTACACTTCAGTAGAGCTCAATCTCCTACATCTTGTTCAATCAGCTACTCCCATCTTTTCTTCCTCTCTTTTCCTCTACGTTCATCTTCATAACAACTCTCACTGCCTCATCTCTCCTTATAACATGACTGAACTGTCTCAACCTATTCTCTCTCATTTTCCCTACAGTCGATGCAACTCTTTGACTCCCCTTTATGTATTTATTTCTTATTCTATCCTTTTTAGCCACTACACTCATCCATCTTAGCATTCCAATCCTCTATTCCCTCTACATTCACCTTCATGATAACTCTCACTGCCTCTGCCTCGATCCTAAGTACTTTGAACTTAACAACTTTGCACCTTGGCGTGTCTGTGTATTGTAAATTTTGCATTCACCAGCTGGAAATGGACGGTTTGTCTGGATCGATGCGGACCGACCCGAAAACGGGGCACCGGTCGTACTTCACTTTGGAAATGGTAGAGCTCACCGACAACGGTTTCAAGAAAATAGGCCTTTGGGACCCGGAAAAGGGTATGACGTACACCAGAACTAGTACCGAGATGCTGGAAGACTTAGTGGCGGCCAGTAAAAACAAAACGTTTATCGTTGCGACTAAAATCGTAAGTGGACAGACAACGTTTACTAATGGACGATGAAAACATTATGATTTTTTTTTTATTGTTATTCGGTTGCAAACGTTACAGACCGAGCCGTACTTCATGTTAAAAGAAGGGCACGCCAAGTTGGTGGGCAACGATAAGTACCAAGGGTACGTGGTCGACTTGATACAAAGAATAGCGGACGACATCAACATCACCTACGAGTTTCGGTTGAGAAACGATGGAAACGGAAGGCGTGACAAGAAAACCGGAAAATGGGACGGCATCATCGGCGAAGTTCAAGAATTGGTATATTAGAGCTTTCATTGTTTTTTTTTTTTGTAGTTATCCTAGTAGTATGCAATTTAAGCTACAACCTCGTAACGTACGTTTAAATTAGTCATCGTAGAATTAGTACCTAAACCTTGTGTATATGATAATATATCCACAGAGAGCAGATTTGGCTGTTTGCGATCTGACGATAACGCATGAACGGAGGTCCGCCGTGGATTTCACCATGCCTTTCATGAACCTAGGTAAGCTTATGCCAACTCCCTCGACCTAATTTACCTAACTGTTTAACGCAGGGTTGCTTACGGCCAAACGTTTAATAATCTAGGTATCAGCATACTGTTCAGTAAACCCGAGGAACCGCAAACTAACCTGTTTTCGTTCACCCAGCCGCTTTCTTTCCAAGTTTGGATATTCACAGCCACGGCTTACTTAGGTCTATCTCTGGTGTTGTTTTTTTTGGCCAGGTACGGTACCTACGAGTCTCTGGTACCTTTGGGGTCGTCTGAAGTCATTTAAATGTTTGCAGGATCACTCCCAACGAATGGCAAAACCCTCATCCGTGCAACCCCAAACCAGAAGAACTAGAAAATTCTCTGTCGCTGTTAAACTGTTTGTGGTTCTCAATGGGTTCGATTCTCGCTCAAGGAAGCGATATCCTGCCAAGGTATGGTGTTGTGTGTTACATAAATTATTATCTTCTCCTTACCCGCATTATCCTATACAATCAGCCATCCACTTCTTCTTCAGTCTCTCTCTACCTTTGGATCCCTATAGATTAACATATCGGAAACAACAATACCCTTGTGTTTTATTTCAGAGCATTCCCGACCAGGTTATGTGCTGCAATGTGGTGGTTCTTTGCGTTGATTATGACACAGTCGTATACGGCTAACTGGACAGCGTTTTTGACATCAAACAGAATGGAAACGACCATTAAGAACGTAGAAGACCTGGACAAAAAGGCTGGCACGGGAGGCATTAAATACGGTTGTTTGAAAGATCAATCTACCGCCAGTTTTTTTCAGGTAAATAAAAAACCGTACATGTTTAATAGTGCATCTTCTTCTTCATCTTCGCCTTACATTCCTAACTACATGAGGTCGTCCAACACCTCTATAGAGCTTATATCCTAATATCACTCTCTATTTCATATTTTCTTCCCCTTCCTCTCTTTCTCTCTACATACATCTTCATAACAACTCTCACTGCCTCTGTCTTATCTCTCCTCATAACATGACTGAACCATCTCAACCAATTCTCGCTCATTTTCACCACAGTCTATGCAACTCTTAAACTCCCCTATTCATTTCTTATTCTATCCTCTCTAGTCACTCCACTCATCCATCTTAGCATTCTCATCTCTTATTCTCTGTTCAGCTATCTTGTCTACTTCCCAACAATCCGGCCCACATAAAATTGCTGGCCTCACTACCGTCTTATACAATTTACCTTTACCAAACTCAAACACGGTTGTCTCTGTTTTACTCTCACCATGCTCATTACTTTCCCTTCAACTGCTTCTCTCCACTTTTAAATTCTCTCATTCAATTCTTCCGGATTTTCATATAGTATACTTTGAATATATTCAATGTGATTCTGCACAGCACTCGAACGTAAATCTATACCAGAAACTGTGGAGCGGCATGGAAATGTTTGGCGATTCGGTTATGGTGTCGGACAACAAACAAGGCGTAGACAGAGTGAAAAAAGAAAGAAATCATTATGCGTTTTTTATGGAGTCCAGCTCTATCGAATATGAAGTCCAGAGGAACTGCGACTTGACCGAAGTCGGTTACTGGTTGGATAACAAAGCGTACGGTATCGCTATGCCATTCAGTTAAGTACGGTTAACGTTATCTTTTTTTTTCTCGATACGTTATGTAACCACAATAATAAATGTCTTAAAAATTTGCAGACGCTCCTCATAGAACGGCTGTAAACATGGCGGTATTGAAATTATCAGAATCCGGAGTGTTGATGGAACTCAAAGAAAAGTGGTGGTCCGTGCCGGATGAACAAAAGTGCAAAGTAAATATCGCTCAGCTGATCATAATAAGTAAAACCGTATTAAAATAATGTGTTAACGCTTCGCAGTCAAGTTAAATAATCCTGTTAAAAAAATGATTATTTATAATTAGTCTTGTTTGTACTTAAGTCGAAACTATTGAAATACATTTTTTGAATTTATTAGTTTATACTTAATAATTTATAAAATTGCAAAAAAACTGTATCTTGTATGAATGTGGTTAATTGAATTTTTCTGGTTTATTAAGGATTTCAAAAAACTCGACGAACTCGATGTGAGTGAAGTCGGTGGTATGTTTGTCATATTGATACTTGGATGCTTGATTGCGTTTCTTTTTTCCATACTCGAGTTTTTGTGGAACATAAGAAAAGTCGCGGTCGAAGAAAAGGTAGTTTAGATATTATAATAATTTACTATAATATACCTATACTTCATATATAATTTTCAAGCCATAATAGTCAAATGAAAAGACTACAGTTCATTAAAGGGAACCACTATTGTGTTATAGTTTTGAACCCCATGACATCATTTTAGTTGAAAAATAGTTAAACACTTTAATCTACATTAAAGTAGTATGGACCATTTAATATTTTGTTATAATGATAAAACATAAATTCAACAACATTAATATACGCTCTTCAAGTCTTAAAAGTTAACCAGAAAACAAAAAAAAACACTTCTCTTTTTACGGGACGATAAATTAAAGTTGTTTATTGATCTTTAATTCAAGTTCAACACAATTGAGCATTCCAGTAATTCCAAAAATATGCGCATGTCTTAAAATACACCTATCATTGGAAAACTGAAGCTTAACCATTATTTTTCCCATCGAATAATAAATAGACTAATTATTGTTGTACTTTTTAGTTGACACTCTTCGAAGCTTTTATGGTGGAATTCAAGTTCGTTTTGAAATGTCACGGGACTTCAAAGCCGGTGAGGCATGTCGACAGGAGCTCGTCCGACTTATCCTAATGGAGCCATTTACCGCAATAATAGTGTGTTTTGTCATACCGGTGTGTATTCTTTAAAGGCACACTGCGTGTACATGCGTCATTGTTACTATTAAACAGTTTATCATAATATTATTCTATACTATTGTTACTTTGTTTGGAATAGTACAATTTTTGTTGAAAACGGTTTGTACGTTTTGTGTGTGTAATACAAACGATGTCGTTGGTAAACAGAGGACTATATGTACAAAATAAAAAATAAAATTAATACAAATAAAATCGTGTCGTTTAGTGAACATTTATTTTTGTCCTTTTTAACCTTTCCAAAGCCGTCGTCGTCGATGTCGGCTGTGATAAATCTTCGATTGACGTGTTAGGGCTCATTAAAATCGCCGCCAGACGACCGGTAACCTTTACAAGACAAGACGGCAACGAACTTAACGGAATCAAAATAAATAAACACACACACGCCGGCGGGATTGGCAAAATTTGACTAACTGGACGATAGCCCGTAAAGATTCACACACACACACACACGTGGTCTAAATTTAGATATTATTATTTAGCTTATTATTATTCTCTATTTTACACCTAAACCCTTTCGGTCACTTATCGGTCCACCGTCGTCGGGTACAACATGATGCTGCTGCTGCTGCTGCCGTTTTTGTCTTTGGTGGCCTCCGAGGACGTGCAACCCATTACCGTCGGTCAGCATAATATTATATTGTATTTTACTCGACCGCTTTCCACACACACTAGTCTCACTAACAACGTGTCTACAACGTCACGTCTTTTGTGTGCTTTATAGTGGGACTGTTCTTAGCCGATGGTACGGCCGAGCAAAGGGCTTTCGAGTTGGCCGTGCACAAAGTCAACATGGACCCGACGTTGGACGACGTCAAGCTGGAAGCTCGCATCAAAATCGTCGACGTCAACGACGCTTTCCAAGTCAGCAAGTCGGGTAAGTACGATATAATACATTGGGCCATTGAGGGCAAAAGTGGTGTGAGTCCAAACCACAAGACCCGCACCTTTATCACAGGCAATTGATTGAAAGTAGAATATTATCACCGTGACATACACCACTTTTGCTCTGGACCGCTCGACTTTTATTCATTTCATTTAATTCAATTCATTCATTTCGTTTAATTCATTTTATCTTTTCCGGTGTCGTAGTCTGCGATTTCTTGGAAGACGGTGTAGGTGCAGTGTTCGGCACTGCTGGCTATGAATCGTCGGCCATAACTCAGTCGATCTGCGACTCCGTCGAAATACCTAGGATCGAATTCCGATGGGAAACGAGCCCCAAACAACGGCCCAACTACTACATGAACTTGTATCCCGAGCCGACGGTGCTGAGCCGCGGGTACACTGCCATCGTGCGAGACATGGACTGGACTTCGTTCACGTTATTATATCAACGAGACGAAGGCCTGTTGAGATTGCAGCATTTGATCCAAGACTATTCCGGATCGACTAAAGTGTCGGATCCACAGTCGGCAGCCCTCACCATTATTCAGCTACCAGAAGACGACGATTTCAGGTTGTATACAACACTATTTAATAATAATAAAAAAAACCCGTTTGATAATAAGCGATTATACTTGTTAATACTTGTGCAGACCGCTTCTGAAAGACATCAAGAAATCGTTAGAAGGCCATATTGTCCTGGACTGCGACACGGACGTCATTCTTAAAGTCTTAAAACAAGCCGAAGAAGTCAATTTACTCGACGAATACCACAGCTTTATAATTACATCTCTGGTTAGTAATATAGTTTGGAGCATAATATTAACTGTCGGCATTTTAATAATATGTAATGGGTTGCCTCGTCCGTGGACCTGAAGGACGCGCATACTATAGACTACAGTAACGTCCATTTTAAACGTACCAACATAACTGCAGTCAGACTGATTGATCCAACAACCACGACGGTCGCTAGTGCTATGTCGGATATCTCGTTCGTTCGACAAAGGATGAATCTGGACATGGAAGAGTTTCGCGTAGACACCACTACGGTGAGTCCTGAGCAAACAACTTAACCATGTTATGGGTTTTGAAATTGTTCTTCTGTAGGTCAACGCCTTGTTGTTGTACGACGCAGTCAATGTGTACGCAAAAGCGTTGCATGGCTTAGGTGGTACCAATGCCATCAAAGCTGAACCCAACAGTTGTTTGGACCGGAACATGACCGGCTGGTCGAGCGGATATGGGCTGATTAATTTCATGAGAGTGGTAAGTACAGCTAAGTGCTAAGTTCGAAACGCAATTCGATTAATGTTTACAATGAAAAACGTCGGTTCCAGGTGGAAACAGAAGGCTTGACAGGGATTATGCGCTTTGACCCACACACGGGGCATAGGAGTTTTTTCACTTTGGAAATGGTGGAGTTGACCAAGTCGGGGTTCAAAAAAATCGGCGTTTGGGACCCAGAGAATGGAATGACCTACACGAGGACGAGCAGTCAAATGTTGTTCGATTTAGTACAGGCTAACATGAACAAGACGTTCATCGTCGCTTCGAAAATTGTAAGATTGTGTAACATGCAGTCATGTTGCTGAATATGAATATATTATGTTTGCAGACAGAACCGTACATGATGCTAAAGGATGACCACGTGAACCGCGTGGGCAACGACAAGTACCAAGGATATGTGGTGGACTTGATACAGATGATCGCCGAAGAGATTAATATTACCTACGAGTTCAGGTTGAGAAACGATGGTAATGGGAAAAAAGACAAAAAAACTGGAAAGTGGAATGGGCTAATAGGCGAAGTACAAGAGCTGGTAAGACCCGCTAAAACCGAGTCACTCTTTCTCTGCACTGATATTTCATAACGATGACAACCTATTCCAATCCATCACAATCACGAACCATAGAAAACTGTAAAGAGCGTTTCCGTTTCTAGAGAGCTGACTTGGCCGTATGTGATTTGACCATTACCCATGAGAGGAGAACGGCCGTAGACTTCACGACCCCCTTTATGAATCTTGGTAGGTAACAAGTTACTCACGTTTGAAGTCACTTTAATATTACCCTATCGTAGTCGAGTTAACACAATTAAGCATTGAAAGGTTAGAATTACATGTGGCTCTTATTCTTATGATTATCTTTCTAGACAGAGAATCATACTGAGCCCTGTAATAACCCTGCTACACTAACCCACCAGCTTCGCCTTTTTCTCGGTTAGAAAAAAATATATACACTATTAATTAAATTAAATTGGTAATTTTTGTATGTTTGACGTTGATTCGTAGGTATCAGCATCCTATTCAGCAAACCCAAAGAACCGGAAACCGATTTGTTTTCGTTTACTCAACCGCTGTCGTTTCACGTCTGGGTATACACGGCTACGGCTTACTTGGGCGTGTCAATAGTGCTGTATTTGTTAGCCAGGTTTGTAAAAAAGGTTCGTTTATTTTCAAGGAATTATCACAGCTACTGTCTGCCTCCAGGATCACTCCTAACGAGTGGCAGAACCCACACCCGTGCTCTTCGGAACCCGAAGAATTGGAAAACTCGTTGTCCCTGATTAACTGTTTGTGGTTTTCGTTGGGCTCGATATTGTGCCAGGGAAGCGATATATTGCCTAGGTAAGTCCTGTAGTAACTGCAGCTAACGATGGCGTCCTGAATGACTGACATGCTCCGCTGTTTCCAGAGCTTTTTCGACCAGGGTGTGCGCTTCAATGTGGTGGTTTTTCGCACTCATCGTGACCCAGTCTTACACTGCCAATTGGACGGCGTTTTTGACGTCCAGCAGAAAGGAATCGCCAATCAAACGCGTGGAAGACTTGGACAAACAGTCGGCTATTAAGTACGGTTGCGTGTTGGGACAGTCCACAGCGGGGTTTTTCGAGGTCGAGCAAACCAAATCGAAAGCTACGCGTATGTTAATCGGTGAAAACGTATTGGTTCTAGAACTCTGACGTGAACCTGTATCAGAAAATGTGGAGCGTCATGGAAACGTACGGCGACACGGTGATGATGTCCGACAACAAGCAGGGAGTGGACCGGGTGAAAAAAGAAAGAGAAGCTTACGCCTTCTTCATGGAGTCCAGCAGTATTGAATACGAAGTACAGCGGAACTGCGACTTGACTGAAGTCGGTTCGTGGCTGGACAACAAAGCGTATGGGATAGCTATGCCATTTAGTGAGTGTTAAATTCGCCATCAATTAATGTGGGACGGACTTGGAACTGGGGAAACGTCTAAAAATAAACCGTCTTCATTCACTTTGTCATTATTTTAACTGTCCTATTTTCTTATAAGCGTAATGATAAAACAACAAAGTCAAGCACGTTATAATTATTACAGACGCACCTCATAGGACTGCGTTCAGCATGGCGGTGTTAAGACTTTCCGAATCTGGAAAACTGATGGAGCTCAAAGACAAATGGTGGTCGACGACCGAGGATAAAGCGTGCCCGGTAAATGTTTTTACAGAATATTATTGTTAGGTAATGGGAACAATAATGTTTGTCCATCATATGTTTGCTTACAGGCGCAAAAAGAAGATTCGGCCGAGTTGGATGTGAGCGAAGTAGGAGGAATGTTCGTCATTCTTATTTTGGGTTGTTTGTTGGGGTTTCTGTTTTCGCTTTTAGAATTCTTGTGGAACATTCGCAAAGTAGCGGTCGAAGAACAGGTAATATTATAATTACAATATTGTTTTCAACGCAGTTTGCTAATAATGAAATACACAATATTTCAATCTTAGTTATCACCTTGGGACGCGTTCAAATGTGAGCTGAAGTTTGTACTCCGATGTCATCACTCGACTAAACCGGTGCGACACACCGGAAACATGGAAGAGCGATCCGAAAATTGAAACGTTGATATTGCAAATAGATTGTGTAGTAGTGTTATTAATTGAAAACTGAATTAAAACATTCGAATTTCCATATTAAGTAATGCGTAATCGTGGTAGTAAGGTTTAAAATATAAAATATTGTATGTATCCATAGGTTAGGCAATAGCTATGTAATAATAGTGATAATTTATAGTCAACTAACGACAATTATGTTTTTCACGTGCAGACATTTTACACCTGCTTCATTAAAAATAAAATAGAAGAAATTTTTATTTGCTTTTTACATTAAAGTATACATTTAATTTCCAACAGTCTACTACTATTTGTAAATAGCTATAAAAATTACAAAAATTTAACCCAAAAACCAATTTGGGCAATTCATTAAAGTGCGTTGAGAATAGACAAATGTATGTACTCAAGTCATTTCACTTTAGATGTGGTTTCTATTGAAAATTCACCGTTGTTTGGAATAAATAATAATGTATTATAACTTATTGCGAATACTTAACCCGTCCCGGCGAAGAAAAAACCTATATTATACATAATCGTTATTGTATAATATATATATTTTTTTTTTTTTGCTATGAAGTGTATTATTAGTTTGCATAATGTTCGGTTTATTCACATTGTTTTAACGCCACTAGTTGCAGTTACAATGAAAACAATAAATAATTACCAACATATTTAACGAAAATGAACAAAGCTGTGAAACGGCAAGTACTGATGTTAAATAGTATAATTGAGTTCAGCGGTAACCAATTAGCCAGTACAGGTACAAAAAAAAACGTTTAGAAAAAATAATAACTACACATAATGTTATCTTCGTTTTAGATACACATTTTCACGGTTAAATGTTCTTTCTTCATGGATTCATCGAAGAGATTTCAGTTTAATTTATTTGTATTGCTGTTTATGCAAGCAAATAAGAACGCTTACAGTCATGACGACTATTCATTAGGTGAGTTAACATACTGATTAATTTCACAATATTCTACTGACAATGTTGAGTCGACTTGGGACAACCTAGTAATTCCGATTGTTTCTCCTCAAAAATTACTTTTTTCTCATTACTTTTATCATGTTTATGTTGTAAACAACCATAGCGGGTCTAGAGATTTTCAAAGAAAAAGGGTTGAACGTTTTAAACGATCAAAATGGCACCTTCTCAACGAGACTTAAATAATCATGTTAACATGACAAGTCTATTTTACCGCTGGAGGTAATTTTAAAATTTGCGTAGCCATTTCGTGGCAAAGGCTTTCGACCACTACTTTACCGATAGTGATAAGAAACATCCTGATAAGAGACAGCTGATAAAATATCAGTGATAAGAAAATAGTGATAAGAGATATCTGATAATGGTTCCTAACACGATCTTGTAACTCTTTACACAGAAAAGCGTAGCCGTTTTTTCCAATACGAAAGGCTGTCATTGTGCTGGACACAATACATTTCATATCACCATTTTCGCGATACACTTTAACTTTTAAGTGATAAGAGATAAGAAAAAAATGATAAGAGATAACATGTCTATGACTCAATGATTTTCCGCGGAGCGGAGCAAATATCTAGATTCTTTTTTTTCTTTTTTTTTGCACGTAAAAAACCATGCCTAAGGCCGCCATATTGAACAAAAACACGGCTACGCTTTTCCTTGTACGGAGTTACCAGACCGGGTTATAAGAACATGGTTCCTAATAAGAGACAGATGATAAGAGATCAGTAAAAAGAGACATCTGCTAACAGCTCCTCACAAAAGAATAGTGATAAGGGATAGTTAATAATGGCTCCCGACAAGAGACAGTTAATAAAAGAGATCACTTAGGTAGACGGTTATGTTAGCATGAAGAAGAAGACTAATGGATAGATCAGAGAGGGGAGGGGAAAAACATATCCATGGTTCTATGTTTTTCCGTGTAGCGGAGATATTAATGTTTTATTTACAATTATTCAAACAGTTTAAACCAATTCAACTTAAACGAATGGTGGGATATCCTTCTATCGCATGACTATTTGTATGGCAGTCTCTCAACAAAAAAAAAACCCACTGATTTGCATGCTACTTACTCGTTGTGATAATATTATTGTATTAACTATTTCAGAGGATAGCAAATATCTCGTTAATGCGTTGGCATTCCCAGAGTATAAACCAGCTAGTCTACGAGCAAGTGATTTTCCAGGGTTTTTGAAGTCGAATTATGTTACCCGTGACCATCAACTCCTTACTACCGTTCCTCGGTTTGTTTACTATGCATACAAATTGAAATCGGTGGCAAGGAAAATACTAAGCAAGCCCTTCAGACAACTGTACAGTTTAAGTGAAATATTGACCGGACAAGAACCGTTGCTAATTCTCGAGAAAATTCTGCATGGAAACGATGAAAATAGCGATGAAGACGAAACCGGTGAAAGTTCGGAATCAGGTTCGGAAGAAAGCGGCGAAGAGTCCGGAAAAGCTGAAGACGACCATAAGAAAAGTAGCAGCGACAACGACAAACATGTTAAGAAAAAACTAAACGAAAAAGAAGAAGTCGAAGACGAAGAAGAAGAAGATGATGAAGAGGAAGAAGAAGAGTAAGAGAAAGACAATTTTTAAAACGTAAAAAATATGATAAAAAAAGTAGAAAAAGTAGAAAATAGAAACCTAGAAAAAGGTTTTCATCAAAAAATCATAAATTATTTGTAAAATTTTAATACATAATTGTTTATTGAACCATAATAAATTAACCTTCAATTTCTTTATTTTAATAATTTATACATATTCCAACGTTAGAGAACTCACATTTTCAATATACAATGGTCAGCGATAAAAAAAAAAAAAAAACGATAAAACCGAGCTTCTCCCAAGAAAACTAAACAACAAAACATTTCAGTATAATAAATGTTATATTTTAGTTTAAATTATTTCCTAGTCACATTGCTATCAATTACAGCTCTCGGTTTTAACTGCAATCCAAAAGTTGTTCATATACCTAGTTCCGGTCCTATACAGTGTATAGTAATGCAGCGTTTCTATGACAAAGTACACAAGTATCATACCAGATGTATATATATCAAATTTATTTTAATTGAATAATGCATTGCACAGTGGTAGAAGGTTAGGTTAGGAGTTTCTTTGCCTGAATGTATGTTATAATATTTTATTTCATACATAACATGTATTGTTCTACAATAAATATAACCAAATAATGTACTATACTATCTTAAAACACAAATGTTCAGTATCACTTTATCTTTAATTAGTGTGTTCATGCACGAAAAAAAACATAATTACATTTTTAATCAGCTTAATAGAATAGAATTCGAGTTGGAAATGATGTCTAGTACGATTAATCATGCTCACGATAAACATCATTATTTTGTCTACAGTGCTTTTCTTTTTTTCTATTAGTCTAATTAAAATAAACGTTACATTTACTATCTTGATTACTCTTGAGGTATTGGCACATTTCATAAATTCTTAGACATTTTTTTGCAAATCTATTATTAGTTTGAATATGGGTTAATCTTGATTTTTTTTTACTAAATAAAAGTTCTTTAATGGTGGAAATAATAAAAAATCGTTTGAAATAATTATTGACGTATTTAAATACTATAATATAATTATTGAATAGTTACATCACATCATTTTTCACAATTTATTAGAGTGCGGATTTTTTTACAAAACACCCAAATAGGTGTTGTTAATATTATGCTAAAAAAAATAGATATATATTTTAGAAACCGTTTAATAATATCTGTATTTTATAAGCCTATAGTGTTGACTTACAACAGATAAATTTTAAAACATTTTCACACAACAGCTATAGTTTTTTGTTTAGGGTATTATTTTGAAAACTGATGTTCTGTTCCGAATCATTGTAAATCCATACTGTTGGCTGATACTATTGAGCGAGCGAAAAAAGTGCTCTATAGAGATAATTTAATACTGTAAAATTAACACGTTTGTGGCGTTCTCCTAAAAATAGTATTTTTTTATTTAAATGCGACGAATCAACATTGTATGCCTGTACATCTGCAGTGGCCGTAATTACTACCTTATAATTTACATGGCATACAAAACAATTCCAATTAACTATTTTTAAACAATAACTGCAACTCGCTCGAACATAATTACCCAACCTAACCTTGCGCAAACATTTTTAGTATTACATTTACATTGAACATACCCTTTTGGGCGTATTTAATACTTAGTCAGTGAGCGTACAATTATACATTTTTTTGAAATGAGTTTAATAACACAAATTCCATGCAGTATTTTACTGTGGACCTTACTCTGCACTCAGCTTGAAACACGAGTGCTTTACCTCCAAAGTAAGTGTCATTCTTAGCTAATATTATTTTTCAATTGTACAACACAAATGCTCGTGTCGGTCGATACTAGCCTATCGTTTATGAAATATCCAATGTTTTGTTGTTTTCATTACCGGCCACGAGCTGCGATACAACACAGGTAGCTAAAATGAATATGAATTTTAATACAATAGATGAGAAATTAAGTGTTAGAGAACTTTGGATGTAAATTTATGTTAATTTAAGAGATCACGAGGGCTTACAAGCGAGTATTGTATAGGTACAGATCTCAATTAGACGGCCAGACAGTAATTTGTATAGTACACAATTGAAAACAGTTACAACGTACCTACACTTGATTGATCCACTTAAATATTTCTCTGACAATCGCCTCTATTGTTCAAAAATCATAATAATATGTTACGCGTACTTTGAGGTATTAAACGTTTTTTAAAAAGCTTTTTTTCTTTTACGTTTTATAAAAAAAATTTGATCATGAAATTGTTTTAAAATTTGTTCAATAAACATTAAGTTGTATACAGTTATATTGCAGCTGTTATAATATTGTAAGCGATGACTTCGGTCCTGATGTGAATTTTATTTTATAATTGCTATACTTTTAGATGTCTAATGCTCACCGATTAAATATAGTTTAGATGGATTTGACGGTATTTTTTTCTCAGATTTCATTCATGTTGAATGGTGAAATATAGTTTATTTGTTATTTGGTATAAAATAATATTACACTCTTGTCGGAAATTGGATGGAAATAAAAACAAACCTTTCTGATTGAAAAGAAACACCAATTTCGTCAAATTGTATGCTTGTCAAAATATAGCCTGACGTTCGATTTCCATTAAAACACTTTACTCGTGTTGATGTTCAGAATAATAATTGTATTGTTAAATAAAATTTTTATCAGAAAAAAAATATCATTATAGTATAAAACCAAATACCAAATTGCAGTGGCGGATTTTCAACATTTTCTTGGGGGGGTCCTGAAAAATGATGTATATTTCAAAGGCATTATTTCTATTAAAAAAGTGTTGCCTGTATTTTTATTTATATATTATAAAATATATCGTCATTCACACATAAAGTTTAATGTTAAATATTATATTATATTTATTTTACAAAACAAAATCGACTTTTCTTTTTTTTTTTTACAAAGTTCGGTTAATACTGAATCAACTGTTAAACAGCTTTCATCCCTGTGAATCGACATCATTGCCAAGCCGTTCAATCGAGCCTGAAATTTAACTAAAAATAATATTTTTATTAATTAATTTTACAAATAATTTTTTTTTTAAATTTGACATGATAATTTATCCTTACTTCAGTCATGGTATTTCTAAGATATGTTTTGATTTGCTTCAAATTTGAAAAAGTGCGCTCATTTGATGCAGTGGAGACTGGTAAAGTAGCAAGGATCTGGAATAATTTCAAGACACTTGGGTATATTTCTTTGTTACAAACAGTCATAGCTTGGAGTGCGTTTTCCGGTTTTTCCGTCATGTTTTTAAATCTTCTTTGCCATAACTTATACTCCGTTGATAATAACGAATGGTTTATGGACTCCAAATCATCTTTGTAATAATCGGCTAATTTTATGAAGTTATCTTCATTTTCTTCGGATTCAAATAATGACTGAAAATTATAAAGTGTACTTTTATGATGGACAAATCTTTGTTCAAGTTCATTAATGTAAGAATAAACATGTATGGAATAAATAAAGATATGCGGTAGTATTTTTCGGTGGATTTTGTTTGAATGTTCGTTCTATACTTGTCTTCCTGTAATTCTAGGCATTGTTATATCTACTTGAAATTTTCCAGCTAAATCAAGTGCAACTGTATATATTTGTTGAAATTTTTTTTGAGCAGTATTTCTAAATATATCTTCTAGAGTTTCAGCAGCTAATTTAGTTGCTAATCTCAAATCAATGTTTACTTTTTGCAATTGTTTTGATAGAGGTAACCCAAATCCAAATACTTTTTTTAAATTAATAATGCAATAATAAATTCTCCATCTAACATGGATTTTCGCAATCGTTGTGCCTTTCCACTAGTATCACTATCATTCCATTCCGATATTTCACCGAAAGACTCTTCAACAAATTCGAAAACCTCTAAAAAATCATGCACTGCGTGGTATCGTTCAATCCACCTCGTTTCAGTGTTTTTTTTTTGTAGTGTCATAAGAAGAATCTAGAATTTTCTGTGATAAAACGTTTTTTCGTTTGGGAAATATGAAGAAATTTCGAATTTCACTAATTAAGCTTAGACAATTTGTAATTTCTCGAGTTCGACTACTCGTATTGCGTTACCGTATGTCCGCGTCAGTCAAATGTCAATACTAGTATTTCAGTATAAAATAGTAATATAATCGTCCCTTCTAAAAGAACTGTTAAAAGGAAAAATACGTATAAATTCACTATCGCAACATAATCGATTACTGGAAATACAGATATTGTAGCTATAATAATCGTCAATAATTTAACATAATATCAGCAATTTAATGCGAATGGCTAATACACATACAAGCTTTCGATAGGGGCAGGTAGTAGGTACTCTTCCGTTTGCCTACACAAGAATAGATAAGATAATTGAAAAAATTTTAAAATATCAAAAAATTATACTTCAACATGTTATTTTATTACATTAAATATATACTTCATTTCAAATAAAACATTATATCAGCGTTTGGGGGGGAAGTCCAGACCCCATGGAACCCCCCCCCCACCGTAAATCCGCCACTGCTAAATTGTTTTACCTCATTTGGACTTGGAACGCCAGTATTTAGGTTCCTAGAGTTGTTTTTATCATATATATATATATATTTGTTTTTTATGTATTAAATAAACCAATTTAAACAAAATAAGTTATGTAACAAAATAATTTTTCATTACCCATCACTTAAAAATAAACAAAAATGAATCGTTCCACAAGCCGGACATAGAAAATTATTCTTTATAAAATCTATTGTTTGTATAATTTATTTTTGTTTTTTTTTTTTTTTACTGACAGGAGTTTAAATATTATCAAATTTGTTGTTTGCAGATTATGAAGGTTCAAAACTGGAAGCACCCAGTCGTGTAGTTTATACACAGCCACGGTCTGTGGTGAGCATCGCCAGACCGGTAAAATTGGTTTCCCGAGATCTCGTCTCAACGAACGGCGGCATACAGTTGGCAGAAGACACGTACAGTCCTTTTGTGGGCATCAAGCCCGTCTCTGTATGGAGAAGATTATTCGGTGGCCAAAATGAACCTACGCCAGTAATCCTGCTGAGAACCACAGCGATACCGGAAACGCGCAGCATCGTATTGCCTAAGAAAGTAAGTGCGCGTTGTCTCGAGTGCAGTGAAAGAATGCACCCGCGACGAGAACCCGTCGAGAAGCAAAGTGTGAAGCACAAAATCCACATGTCGGACAATAATAGTAAATATACGAAAGCCAAAAAGCCCCAACCGAAAACCCAAGGCGGTCCAAGAGATCAGCGACCAAAAGTAGTGCCGACGAAATTGGAATACAACAATAATAATACTATAAAACTATTATCTAAGCCGAAACTCAATAGTTCTAAGAAACAAGATAAACGCGTCCGCGGCGATGCCAGTGAAGAAATCGACGACGACGAATCCGACGAATACCAAAGACCGACCAAAAGTAAACCGCACATTGAACGCAATAAATCGAAACTCATCAGTTCTAAGAAACAAGATAAACGCGTCCGCAGTGATGAAGAAATCGACGACGACGAAGACGATTCTGATGAATACCAAAGACCGACCAAAAGCAAGCCGCACAAAGAACTTAAACCGAAAACCGACTTAAAAGGTAAGGGAAAAAATAATTATTCCCAGGAAGAAAAACACCCACTTCCCGCGGCGAAAAAAGAAGGTCAAACCAAAACCGTTCCAAGTAAAAACGATAAACCCGAACCGATAAGAAAACCCGTTGGAAATCCCAAAGAAAAACCGACCAAGGACGAAGGAAAACACAACGGCGACCACTCGGACGGCAGCCAAGGAAATGAGCCCAAAGCCGACGACAACGGTAAAAATATTAAAGTATACAAGTTGAAAGAGCCCATTGGCTACGAATATGGTTACGACGACATCTTGGAGAGCTACGAAGCGTCGGACGACGATGAAGACAATTGATATTACAATAGTGCATATTATGTCGGCCGAAATGTAATTGTTTTTGACTTGAATAATCACATTTTTCGCTGTGTAATTTTCTTTTTATTATCGTTTACTCGTTAAGACGTTCATTGGTTGTTTGTCGAAACCTAGAGAGTAGTCATATTATTATGGTCAATAAAAAATTATTTTGTAATGGTAAGCACTTAACGGTGTACATATTTACCCTTATTGGGACGTTTTTAACTTGTATTCAATTTGATTTCATTATAAAAGGTATGTATACATATTACATATAAATACAGATATTTATTTATAAAACTTTTCAATCATACTTTTTATAAATTGGATTTCATGTCAGCTAAAATTTAAGTTTCAGAAGTATCTATTTAATAAATGACGATTCCAACAAAATAGAATCGCAAAGCTATTTTCAGCGAGTAGCATGCTATAATAATTACTACTACAGTTCTATTTCAACCGGTCTTGTGGCATTGCTATACTGACAATTTAATATCTTCTAAAGTGGAAGAAATACAATTTCCCTGCCGACGTTATACCACGTTAAGCCGCGTTTAATAAGAACAAAAATACAGTATACCCGTTGTCCACTGAATAAGTCACACACACACACACACACAATATCCCAGACAAGTCCTGGGCTTAGCGAAATGGCACAATCTCCCAGCTTACTTACGTCCTACACAAGTAATACCGGCTTAAGATCATTATTATTATTATGACGTTGCACAATATTAATTAAAGTAACGAACAAGCGGTATAAATATTGTACAATAAACAAAAATATATTATAACAACGATAAAATAAAGTTATAATACATTATTATATTCAACAATATAATATATTACAATTTAAATTGGTAGTTTTTTAAGTATTACCTAAAAACCTAATGCCATTTAATATGTACAATAATTGTATTATATAATATATTTATTTGAAATTATAATATGCAATGAAAATAATGACTTAAGTCGATGACGCGGTATGAATAACTAATATGCTTTTTGGGTTGTGAACAGTTTTTCCTCAAACGGTTGTTTTCTTAAATCTCTGTCAATATGATGCTGTGATTTAACTGACAAAAAAAAACAGTCCTAATTACTGAACTAATAATTGCACATTACAGTTTAACCTTAAGTTATAAGATTTTGTAAAAAATTGCCCATCTGGCGTCCTTTTAAGGGGAACGGAAAGCGCTAATTATTAAGGGGCAAAGCATAGGCAATGTTTGACACAAATTGATTCAGTAGCCAATTTAAAAAAATTATGAAAAACTGTTAAGCTATTTTTCTTCGATTTAGAAGTCATTTTCTGATACTTTGGACTCTTAAGACGTCCAATACCAGTGTTGTTACTCAAAAGTCGGTTTAATATCGACAACGCCCACATTATTGTTCGGTAGCACGTTAATGTAATTTGCTCGGCTGCTGGTTTCGGATGTACCTCCCGCTGACGGCGCCCTTGGAGCTCTTTACAAATAAACACTGACCTCTCTATTTTTTTTTGAGGACCGCTTGTCTCTCCCTACGCCTTGCACTTGTAGCTGTGTCGTAATTTTTTTATATAGACAGGGACAGGTTGGTAGTTGGTATAACGAAAATTATTTTAATATATTTAAAACGAGACAGAAGGAGGGGCATAGTTACCGGACTTACCCATATGTGCAAATAATCCACACGGTTATAAGGTGAAAGGTTGTTTTGGGAAAGTGCATACCCCAAGGCGCCAGATTTGAAGGGGCACAATTTTGAAGGAGAATATTTTCGAGGACATGACGTTCTCTAAAATATTTTCAAACAAAAGTTACAGCTATTGAAAAAAAAAAACGAAAAAAACTAACATAAATGTAACGTTTTTATTTAAAAAAACATCAGTTTAAGATTAATTATTTTGTTTAAATTTATTACCATTACTATTACCCACTAAGGCACAAGAACATATATATTATTCTGATAGCTTGCCACTGGAATTCGCACCCTTGGTGCATGATTGCCACAACTCAACAAATATAGTTTTGAGGAAATTAAATTTTAAGATTGAAACCCAAACGATTAGCTGTTTTAAAGCTTTAACTTTAATAGTCTGCCATTATTTATGTTACCCGATGCTTGTTATTTGTAATGTTAAGCTACTTAGTTCAATCTCAACAAGACACCAGAAATAGAGGTTGTGGCGATTTACCAAAAGGTTTCCAGAAAAGTAAACTGCCTTATTTGGTTTTTTTTGACAGTTTACCATTTTAAACCAAATATTTTACTTGCCGTAATAAGAAACGTGTCAGTTTTGTTAAATTTAATTAACGCTACAACACCAAAATGTGACAGTTTATTATTTTTTCACGGATGGTTTAGTTTCTTATGGTTAACTATAAAAAACATTCAACGCATTATTTAAAAACGTGCCAAGAATAGTGTAACAAGAGTTGTGTCATTTGTTATACAGACTTAAATCTTTTTGAACCATTTGTTTAGTGATAAAAGGGTTATGTCTATTTACCCGCCATATTACATTATGCTATCAAGAGTGTTGTAATCGCAACATTACAATCAATATCATTAAAATACATATTCAGTTACGGTTGAAGATGATGTCGAAATGGCTGAACAATATCCAGTTCAAAAAGAACCAATTCAAGTAAATGTTGAGCCAAATCAAAAAGCTACAGACTCTAGTAAAATATCTAGAAAAGCTAAAAATGACAAAAATAAACAAATAAAACATGCCTATATTTTGTTACAAATAATATTAAAATGTATTAAATGTATGTCATATTAAAGTAATAAAATATTATTATTACTATTATTAAAATGACTTAACTATTTTATTAAAAAAAAAAATGAGTGAATTCAACTCAATAAGATATAAGTAAATTTTTTTTTAACTTATAACAGCTACTTTGTTATTAATTTTTTTTTTAATTCTAATTTATACAGTTGTTTTACTATCCTATTAAGAAAATATTTATCTTATCCTAATACCCGATCTTACATATTCGAATAAATCCTTATTTTTCAATTTCCCACGAATTATAGCAATAGACCCTTAGCCTGGAGGAGATTGCAAGCGGTCTGTTTTTAAGGAGTTTTGTATAGGCAATATTTATAAAAAAAAAATTGGTTTTAATCAAATGTCAATTAATAATTATAGAGTTTCGAGCTGTTATATGTTAATTTAAATCGTTTTTTCTAAAATCCAAAAAGCCAGACAAAATATTCCCACTACCCAGGATAGTCCAATTAATTTGAATCCTGTAAAGAGATACAGTTTGAGAGTTGTTTGGCTACGTTTCAGTAATTATAATATATACCCTTACAGAGTCTCGATATCGGTCTAAAACTAATACACCCGCCTTAACCGAAAATGAAAAAAAGCCAAATTTTCCGGTTGTGGCAGTCTTGCAGTTACTGTTTGCACGGTGAGGGTAATAGCGGATTCGCCTCGAGCGAGCCACCTACGCTATTTAAAAGCACTTCCCCGCATTCCTCTATACGATATATATATATATATATATATGTATTATATTATTACACGGCTCGGGCCTTCCCCTAACATTTTCTCCCCCGAACCGCCGTCTTACGGGACTTATGTTCTCGAAAAATCAATAGCTCCCCCCGCCCCGATCCCCCCGGGAGACCTGACGGGGGGGTACACACGTACTTGCAATACATTTACTCTTGTGTGCGTCAGCCGCGCGCGATTCGGGTCGGCCGACGACAATCAATACACTCCTTCCCGGCTCTCCCGGCTCTCCCGGGGGATGAGCGGGAAGCGAGGCGGTGGGCTTTCCCCGTGCGGCGACCGTGGCGCACCGCGGCGACAGCGGCGAACGGGCGGGCTCGCTCCCCGCGTGTTGTGGGGAAAATCGACCGCTGCCGCCGTCGCCGAGAAAACTGGGCAGTGCGAACGGTTCATGCGGAATACACACCACGCATTAAGTGCACACCACCTCTGCGAGAGTTCGGGCCGATAACGGGTGTCCGTGGTAGCATTTTCTCGGAGTATAATATTTCCACGTTGTCGTGCTTCCGCCTTACAACGCCAGCAGATCCATCCGATGTCGATCGACCGAGACCAGTCACGAGCAGCAAATGTCACGGCACGAGTAAGTCGACCACCAGCCGCAGAGACCGACCTCTGTACTACCTAACCTAACCCGTTTTCCCACATACATGTACACCGTAAACGCGGCCTGTAATAGACAAAATATAATATACATATACGGTAGTAATATAAAAAAACCGGGGCCAAACGTCTTAATCCGCGCGCACCGCGTGTCATCTTATATTAATATGACGATTTGAAAATACAAAAAAAAAAAAGAACCTACCCTCCGGCCGCCCCTACGCGGTATCTCATCCCCTGCCTTTGATAACTGGGTCACCGGACGCGCACCCACCGCTTACACGGCAGTTAGCTTACTAACCTTTCGGCTCTGATTGTCATGCTATAGTATTTTTTTTTTTTTTTATCAATCCTACTGTGTTCCTATAATGTGTGTGTATATGCAATTATTCGCTTTTTTTTTAATATAAAAATAACAATAACACTCCGGTTTGCCATTATTGCCAACCATGGCCAAGTTTCGCCCAAGTACCTACAACAGCTAAGGTATATAATATTAATAAATTGAAAATACAAACACACCGGTCGGTATTGTATAATGGAACAATATTATTATTGTAATTTTATTTTACATATATATATATATATATATATAATTTTTTTTAATTATAATCAGTATAATGTCGATTATAATAATTTACATGGCCAATTATCCACTCCACTTGAGAACACACCGTAGCGGTAATCGATTTTGATAAATAATAACCGGCTTTATTGCAACGATAATTAGACTATTTTAATATTTATCATTTGTGTTTCGAACCACGCACGTGTTTGATTTTCAAATAATATAATATTTTATTATTATTGCTCACATCGATAGACAATACCTATATTATGTGTATTAGTAGTTGATCAACTCACTGTTTTGGATTTTACATTTTAATAGTATATTGCATGTCTTACACGCAATGTACTTTGGGAGGTGAGAACTGAAATATGGTTAAATTCAATGCCAACTGTTCCAAGCATCTGAACTAAGTTCCAATATTTTGTACTAATGCATAATAAATATATCTTATAGTGAACAATTTATACACATATTAAGAAAGTTACCATACACTTTGCACTCTGATATATTTTTTTAGTTTTTACATTTTTACACTTTGCTTTTAAATAAAAATCTGTTAAAATTCAACTTGTGGTATGTTAGTGAAATTTGAATTCGAATATTTGGTTTTGAGAATAATCTGCTAAAGTATTAAATAATATTTTTTAAATGACTTCTGTTTGAGTCGAGCCTAAATATTAAAAATTGCATTATTACTTGTATATGTGTATTTTTTTTTAATTTTTATAAAACACATACATAATACTATGATGCCTATAATATTCAGTGAAATTTCGAAATTGTCTAATATTAAAAGTCTCGTTAGAGACTAATAGGCAGAGATTTTGAAAGGCTTAGGATAGTAAAACCCTTAAAACTTAAAATTAGTGCTTTTCAAAATACCTGCATTTATTTTTTAGCGAGACATTTGTTGACTAACTATAAGTCTTAAGGTTTATTAAGGTGTTTAAAATCTCAAACGCCCCTCCACCCAATCTTTGCCTACGTACTGCAGCTCTATTTTTATTTTATACTAAATAATTTCAAAACAATTATGATAACTTGTAATTTATTTGAGCGTTTTTCGCACTGCGAGCGTGGAACGTGTTCAATATGTGTTGATGGTTAGAAAACAAAATAGGCTTTTTCTATAGCTCCAACAAGTATTGATTTTTTTTTTAAATTTCGTGGGGGGTCGTTGTGTGCAAAAAAGGTTTACTTATTTTGATGAATTTCGTTTTGAATTTTTTTTTTTTGCAATTCTAACACAGCACACACAGTTCTGTCCCGTGGCGCTTGCACGTTGTACCGCAGAGCTATTTTGTTCACCGTCGGTCGATTTGTCTCACAGTGGTCTGTCTCGTTCACACCCAATCTGTCTTCCAGCTTGTAAAACTTTTCACCCTAGGCGTCTACCAATATATAATAATAGTATTATCGTTTACATTTGTTTGGCTCGTTACATTATTGACCCAAAAACTTGACAAATAACAACAAACGCCACCGCACTTACATTATGTCAATCCACTAACATTGAAACGTTTACACGTTCAATAGGTATTATATTATAAATTCCTTTTAAAATCAATACGTTTTTGTAAACGACACATTTAAAACTTTTAAAGAGCTTTCGGTTATGACCGAAATTGTTAACAATTATTGTTTAATCATTAGGTATAACGCTTTTGGCAATTTAGTTATATTGTATTTAGTCATTCGATAATACTTTGTTGGTTGTAATAAATTCAAGTGTATACATCACATGTATCTATTGTAATCATTTTGTTATCAATATTATTACTGACGGTAAATACAAAACTAACTGGCAGAACATGATCTTGATGGAGTTACTGCATTTTGTAAAGTTTATCTCCTTCAAATACATTTTTAACAAAAACACATCATTGTAAATACACAATACCTTCTCGGTTCCATGTCGAAGCTAACATAGAAGCTTCGATTTTTGCAGCTACTGTAAAGGGCAATAATAATAATACCAAATTAACCCACATCTGGGAATCTATGTTTATTTTAGTCAAACGGATACTTTATATAATAACACCGACAAAATGACTGGACAGCTCGGGATAGGCCGGGAATTCGTCCCTTCTACAGCAATATAATCATTATTATTACTATTATTGCTGCTGTGTTGAGAATCTATTTTGGGATCTCCCAAGTCATTGGTCAATTCGTACGGTCGGCCAAACGTGGTCGACAGTGTATTATATTATATGCTCAATCTCAGCTACAGTTGTGGTTAAGCGTCCGTCGCACGTTCATTACGGTATTACTATTATTACTATTATTCCGAAGTGAAAACGATTAGATAAACTTATAAACCGCAATTTTTTTTTCGGTAAGTAAATATATCCACGATAATATATTATAATATAAAACAATGTGCCGTAATATAATCGTACAAAATCATAGGCAATAGCAAAATAATCTACACTTTTATTATGCTAAACGATTGTAACTAAGAATAGTTCATTTTTGTTGTTTAATTTTAATTTTTTTTTTAAATTGTGTATTGCCCCATTTTAGTCGTAGGTTAAAATAGTGGTACCTAGTCAGTTGGGTAAAATGGGGAATAATTAAAAATGTCCAGAATATTAATAATTCTCTTGGTTATTTTCTTTTATATTTCAATCTCAATAAACATAACTTACAAAACAATTAAACATTTAAAGTAGTTGATTAAATAAAAACAAGTACAAAATCTTTTACTTTATAACAAAAAAAAAAAAAAAATAGAACTGTCATAACTCATAACAATATTGTAAATACCATTATCTTAAAATTAAGTGATCTCTTTTTCATTCATATTTACACTAATGTTATAAACACAACAACTAGAAAAGAAATATTATTAATAGTGTTAACATAATATAACAATGGGTACCCCATTTTAACCAAAACTAACAAGTAACCGAAACCGTTTGTTTAAAAAACAAAGGTGATAAAGTATTAAATAAAAAATAAATAATTACCTGTTTTTAATGTACAAAAAGGAAAAATCGACTCTGATGTCCAAATTGTTTCTACGCTATAATATTATAAAAAACAATAAATTTGTCTTGTGATAAGAAAATTTGATAAAATACAAATATTTAAACATCACATGCCTTGATAAGCCTTTTGTTGATGAATTATCATTTGACAACCACCACCAATCGACTTCAGTGTGACCAGATACCACATACACCCTGTTTTACCCAACTTGCATTTAATATATCCCATTTTCCAATTGGACTCTGAAAGATTCTATTCTGATTGTGTACCCAAAGAAGGAATAGGATTTTAGGAATAATTAAGGATTATACATTTTCAGCGCTGCTCTAAAGTTATTAACAGTTCTAGTCATTACACTTCCAAGAGAGTAATGATAATAATATAGCTTTTTAAATTGTTGGTTTGTTTTTAATTGCAATAATAACCGTTCGTTTTTAAATTTTCCTAATTGCCTTTACTATGTATACATAAATACATATATTTCAAGACAAAGCGAACCTATAGTTCTTAAAACAACACCGATGATTGTGTATTGAATGTACAAACCTATACTACAGGTATCGATAATAGTTTCAATAAACGTTTTGTTCATTGTTTGTATACAGTAGTAAACATTGTACACTGTTATCAGCAACAACATTGTGTGTGTGTGTAGTTAAACTTTGATCGGTTCCAAGTGTGGGGCATACCTATTTCACTAATAAACACAGTCAATAGTAGCTATACACAGTTCATTTATTTTCCAATCGTTATCTATCTATGATGTGCACAATAAAAAATACACTATTCGTGGTAATAAATCATAAAATATACAAATGCGATAAAATAATATTCAAGGCAATTTTACGAATTCAGCATTCACAGACGTGCCATAAGTATATGTACACAAATAATTGTCGAATCACAGTATAATATATGTTTGTTTTGTGTTTAATATAAATGAACTCGTCTAAACTTTGAAACCGAAAATTTCATGTTACTGTATTGGTTTTTATCAAAATGCACGCATATTGTGTGTCTACAATAACTTCATAGTACATCAATTTGGTGCAACATTGACAATTGACTCAACTACGGAAGGGTCATGTGACAATAAAGAGAATATTATTGGACATTATTACCGTCAAAGAAACCCGTTTAAAATGGCTTAAACCCCATTTAAAAATGTAAAGGATCCATTAAAGTCAGCAGAGAACTATTAAGTTAGAATATTCCCGTTATGTAGACGGTATATTTGATATTATATTTTTAATAAAAGCCAGTACAGTGAGGTCACAGGTCTACATTATGTTTAAACCAAGTATAGTCCAAACCAAGCACAGTAAGAAAGTATTTTATATACATGGATGAGCATTAGTAGTAAGTGAATAAGTAAAGGAGATCCAGTGTTCACAGAAAAGCATTGTACCTTATGTCAATAATGTTTTTAAAATACATTTTTAGAATTAGTAGTAGATACGATTAGGGATGATCGATTGGCTATAAAAATATATTGCCATAGTTACCCGTGCATAGTGAATAACAATATTATAAAAATATTTTCAATACCTGTTGACTGTTGATGATTCACTCACACATGGCAACTTGAAAATGTACTATGATCAATGTGTAATATTTCCATTTTTTTATTGGGTTTTCCTTAATACAAATTTGATACATTTGAATACAGATTTTTAAGAAAATTTTATCTTATAGTTTTTTAATTCTAATTTTAATCTAAATATTTTGTTCATTTTTCTTAAACAAATATGACGTAATTGATGTATTATGATTAGTTATATTCAGTTTTGTAAAATTACTTTTGGAGATATTAAAATTTTAAGATAAATTGGATTATAATCAACACCAAATAAAAAATAAGAGAAACAACCATTATTAAGGCGAACTGCCCTATAAACGGATTGCCAAAGTGACACAGTATGCTTTCAGACATAAAGTTAAAGTAATGGTTATAAAATATAAATAGTATAAAGTAGTCTAATAATAGTAATAATGATTGTAATAGTAATAATAATAATAACAATTCTATTAGAATTCTAATTTGTTTCACTGAGATAAAAATAATATATTAAAAATTGTTGTATGAATGTTTATGAATAATATTTAGAATATCCCGCATGGTTGTTAAACACATTTTTATTTTATTTTTGTAATTCTAATGCATTTTTTTTTGCGAAAGTCTCTCAGCAAAGGTTACCTGTTATCTACTTGGTATTTTTTATTGAAAATATAGTATTATTGATTTATAAATGGGTTTTTGTCTTTTCGTCAAATAATTTGTCTTCGTTCTCATCGTTCGTATACCATCGGAATGTGAACATTATTTCTTATTTTATCCAGAATAATTATATATGCTATATAAGTATTTTGTGGTGGGCCGAATTGCTCAATAGCTCTGAAGAATCACTGATGTGGGAAAAATTTTCCATTAAATTCTTCTCACATATATTTTCAGAGATTTTGAGTAACAATGGTGGTTGTTACCGAGTACGACTCCTAGGCTTTGGGTTTTGGTACTCAAAGTTTCTACAAATATTTCCACAAGGTACTCAATGGTAAAATACAAGTTAATTAATTTTTTTTTTTTTTTTCAGAATTCACAACCAACTAATTATAGATCATGCTGAAAATACACAAAGGTCTGAAGAAAAAGAAGAAGAATAAGAAAAATAAACACAAAGAAGAAGAATTATTTAACGAAGAAGAACTTGAAAGATATCGTCGAGAACATCAAGAGGGTAAAGAAGGGCTAAGTGAAGTTGAAGGCCAAGAAGAGTGGCAAAAATTCAAAGCAATCACAGCTGATATCGACAGTGTTTTAAAAAAAACACAAGGAGATCTCGATCGCATTAAATCGACAAGTTTCTTCCAAAGAAAGCCTACGCAGGTCGAAGTTCAAGCTGCGCAAGATAAATTAGAAGCCGAAAAAAAAGCAAGACAAAAAGAGGAGGAACGTATAAAAGCAGAAGCTTTAGCAAAAGCTCGAGCAGCAGAAGAACAAGAAGCTGCTTGTGCACCTGTTCAGGAAGAATCATCCGAAGAAGAATCGGATCGTGGTGACGACATATTCGACACTTCCTACGTTGATGTCATAACAAGTGGAGACGTCAAATTAGCTTACATTCCGGAAAGTCCTACAGAGGAAAAAGAAGAATTCGATCCTTTCGATACATCAATTGCAGATAAAGTTATCAAACCAAGTTCTAATAAAAAAAATCAAAGATTTATAAGTCTCGGATGTGCGGTAGAAGTACTTTCGGGAAAAGAAGTTGATATTAATCCGGAAGTATTTAGGTCGTCGGCTGTACGAAAACGACCCAAACCTGTAAATTTGTTGTTAGAAAGTTTTGACGAAAATTCTACCGTAAAACTTAGAGATGAAACACCTGTGAAAACATTACTTGATGAAGATCCTGACTTACCTGCTGATACTTTACCACTGACGATAGTTACTCCGTGTAAAGAAGTAAAACTATCTCCAAACAAAGAAGTTGAAGATATTATAATTTCACCTCATCAAGACATTACAAATATCATCAACGAATTTGATACACCATTAACAATCAGTCAAGAACTTGCAACTGGTCAATTGCAATTAGTTGACGACGACATAGACGACGAGTTCGCCGCACTAGCTGCAGAATCATTATCTAAAACTCCATTGCCGGAAGATATCGATCCATTTGACACGTCATTTGCTGATCATCTTGTGCCTACGATTAACGAAGAAATCACAAAAAGCGAAGAACTAACCCAGGACGAAAAATTATCTGAAGAAGATTTTTACAGTACAGTACGGTCACTTAGTGTTGAACACAGAGATTTATTAGGTGGCAGTACAACTGATCTATCTGTTATTGGACACCATCCAATTGAACCGAACAATCCGACCACTGAAAAAACGGATATAGATCCATTTGATACATCTATTGCCGAAAGTCTATTACCCGGCAAGGGTGAACTAAAACTTCTCGAAAACGAACTTTTAAACAATTCAGAAAATCAAAACAAAAAAATCATTATTGAAGAAGACGACGATTTTAACCCTAGAGCAGAAGAACCTACCACACGTCCGATCGAGCTTAATCTCAACGATAAAAGAACCAGTGTTCCTAAAGTAACGTTCGCTTTGGAACCAGATTTATTGACTGACGACAGCCACGGCGAATTGCACATCTCAAAACCATTAACGCCCTATTACCCTACGAGTGAAGTAGAAGAAGTTAATGTTGTAACAGACCCATTTGATACTTCACATGTTAACCACGCACCTGGAAAAGTTGAGCTTAAATTATTAGAAAACGAACTAGTTGACGTTCCAGATAAGTGTACAGATATACTTACAGAAGAAGAGTTTATTCCTCACATTCTTCATACCCCCGTTGAACCAGAGATTGCTGTTCCTGCCGACGTCGATCCATTTGATACTTCGTTTGCTGAAAACACAGTACCGAGTCGAACAGAAATAAAACTATTAGAGTCTGAATTTATAACTAAATAATTATGGCAAACCCATTTTTAGTCGGAGACGTGTCGTCGTCTGTTTCAGATTCTAATACTTTTAACCCATTTTTAACAAACACTTCTGCAACAGTTCAGCCAAGTAATGATCCTTTTTTTACACCATTTGGAGGCTCAAATACCATTCCAGACAATACAAATCCATTTTTGGCGTTTATCTCAAAACCAGAATCATCACAGGCGGTGGCCGATCTTTTGGGGATTAATGAAAATACTTCACCTCCTAATGTGGAAGACACGTCAAAAACCAAACCACCACCACCGAGACCAGCACCGCCTAAAAGGCCTCCACCGAGGCCTATGCCTCCACCACCGCCACCTTCACATGAAGCAAAAGAACTTATTCTCAGTGTCACGGGAGAAATGGACGCCACTTCATCACATATGTTGGACAGATTAGCCAAAACTCCCAGTCCTACGCCAATAAGAGATTTATTAACACCCAGTCCTACACCAGTTTCCGATCTTTTGGGATATGAAGAAATTATACCACCAGTTGAGTCTGTAGAAACTGTTACCCAACCCCCTACCGTACCCAAACCCGAAAGACCGAAATTCCCACCGAAAATTGATTATCTGATGGATGATTTATTAGAGGATGTTCATATCGAAGAAGTCAGCGAAGAGTCTCAACCAAAACATGAAAAGAAAAGAACGCCTTCAATACCAGAAAATCCACCATCAATAAATGGCTCTAAATCTTCGTCGAGGAAATCTTCGTGTGAAATTATGTTACCCGTAAGAAGATTATCTCACGACGTAACCGAATCTAGAAAAATTATGCCGGATATGAGTAAAATATCAGATCGCAGAAAATCAGATATAGGCCATTTCGCACCAATGTTGCCAGTAAGAAAACCATCTAGTCAGAGTGATCAATCATTGGTAGAGACTAAAAGTAGCATTCAAGAAATAAACGAGCTAGAGGAACCTAAAAACGTCGAATCATTGTCAGTTTCGGATGTCGTCATTCAAAGCAGTATCGAGCCTAAAGAAGCAGTTTACATCGAAGAAGTAAATAACGAACCGACTATTCAAGATACGACTTCGACATGGCAAAAAGAAGAAAACGGATTGGATTACGATTCGCAACAATTTGCCGAGTCTTTCAACCAACCAGTTGTCGAAACTTCACCAACTGATACTAGAGAATCAGTTAAGTCTCAGTCTCCACAAGAGTTGGCGGGTACGGAACAGACTGCATTCAGCGGCATTAACACTGCACAACTTTCTTTCGAAAAAATAACTACGCCTCCTGATTGTGATACAAACGAACAGGAACAACCGATCACATTTGAGACTTCACCTTTTCCCTTAGCTCCTGAATCATTGGTAGAAACTACCATTATTCAAGAAGATCTAAGTCATGAAACTCCATTTGTTGACACAGTTAAAACAGAAAATGAAAGTACCAGTGAGCTTTTTGCTACGGAAAACCCTTTTGAAAATAATGAAGACGCGTTTGACGCCTTTGCTGCGAAATTCGAAGATTCTCAAGGCGATTCGTTTGGGGCAGCAACATTTGATGCATTTGGTGGTCCCATTATCGACACTGTTGCAGATTCGACCATGGGCTTCGGAGTTGACGACAGCTTCGATTCATTTCTATCGACACACCCAATACCGGCTGCACCACAGTCAACTCCTGCTAGAGTTACAAGGAATAATTCTGGAGAATCAATTAGTGAAAATGAGTTTAATGTCTTCATAAGGTAAGTTGTACGCAATTGTTAGAAAATTAATCGATTTTTTTTTAATTCATACATTTTCAGACCAAAAACTGAGGGTGGTGTAGATGAACAAGTACCTTCTATAGCACCACCTCCAAAACCAACAAACATATTTTCAGAAGGATTTTCATCACGGTTCAATCCATTTGATCAAACATCAAACGATACTAGTTTTAAAGAACAAGGTCCGTATTGTGTATTTTAATTAAATTACAACACTGTTGACTAAAATTTTTCTTTCTGTATTTTTAGACTTATATGCCGGTCAACCGATGCCACAGCGTTCAGATTCTCAGGAGACGCCGCCTAGTCCGTTATTTGATGAAGACGTTTCTCAACCCCTCGAAGAATTCCCGAGAGTTAATTATCCAGGAGAAGGTTGGGAAATGGAATTAAGACAACCAAACAAGAAAAAAATAACTGCCCATCGATTTTGGAAAAAAATATTCGTTAAAATTGTTTATCAGGGTGAGAACCCCGTGCTACAGCTGTATAACCTGAAAGGCGATAGAGATCCGTTTCAAGAGCTTCCGTTGCAACCAAGTTATTCGGTGTCTGATATTGGTAAGGAACTAGTATGACAATAATATTATATTCTTCTGAGTAAAAAATTTAACACAAACTTTAACACATTTTAGGTGCTCAGCAGTATGATCAATTTGGCAAAATATTCACAGTAAAATTACTATACATATTTTACAAAGAAAAAGCTGGGTTCAGACCAGGTCAAGTTACCAAAGCTGAAAGACTGACTACCAAACTGAGTCAGTTCGCGGCTTATGCAATACAAGGCGATTATCAAGGTGTAAAAGAGTTTGGTAGTGACTTGAAGAAATTAGGATTGCCGGTGGAGCATGGTGCACAAGTAAGCAATACTATGCAAACCATAATGTAATTGATTGAATTGAAACCAATAGAATTAAAACCAATTTCAACCGATTACATTTTTATAACTGTTATTAATTAATTTTTAATACGATGAATATTTGTGGTGATTACAGACGACAACGTTATTGAAATTGGGAAGTCACAAATTTGAAGACATGAAACAATTCAGTATATGCGTCGAAGAAGCATTGTTTAAACTTTCGGCTCACCGCGACAGAGCGTTGAACTACAAGGTGGAAGACGTGCAAATCACTGTAGTCGATGAGCTGTTTGTTGATCAAAATTCGCAGGGATCCGTGCTTAAGCAAATAGCTAGAGTCCGTTTGTTCTTTTTGGCTTTCATGTGTGGTTCGTTCAGTCAATATTCTATACGGAAGTTGTTGTTTGTTTTATAGCGAAAACTAAATTCAAATATAATATGTTAATAGGAATGCCTGATGTCGAGTTGGGTGTAAACGATTTAGTGAGACAAGGCAAAGAAGTAGTCGGTCGACACGACATCATACCCGTGGTTACGGAAGAATGGATTCGTCTAGAAGGAGTAGAATTCCATAACTGCGTGCAACAGGACGAATACGACAGAACAAGAACGATCAAGTAAATTTCTTGTCTATGATAATAATTGTAAATTTATATCCTTAACATTTTTTTTTTTATAAAATCATACAGATTCAAACCTCCCGACGCTTGTTACATCGAACTGATGAGATTTCGAGTCCGACCTCCCAAAAATCGTGAACTACCTCTACAACTGAAAACCACCATGAACATTACCGGTAACAAAGTAAGTGCACGTGACTGGGCTTTGGTGACGGGTCGATTAATTGTACCTTCAAATGATGTCCACTCGTCGAATTTCTTTAACAATTTGTTCATTTTTTTACAGGTGGAGCTAAAAGCCGACATACTCGTGCCGGGATTCACGAGCAGGAAATTGGGTCAAGTACCTTGCGAAGACGTAGCTATTCGTTTTCCTATCCCAGAATGTTGGATATACTTGTTCAGAGTGGAGAAACACTTCAGATACGGTTCGGTGAAATCCGCACACAGAAGGTACGTAAAGTGTCATATTATGTCACATGGCATAGGCAATTAATCGCCGTGTACTGTCCAAATAGGACGGGCAAAGTAAAGGGTATCGAGCGGTTCCTCGGTACGGTCGATAATCTCGAACCGCATTTGATCGAAGTCACTTCTGGAGAAGCCAAATACGAACACCATCATAGGTCCGTCGTCTGGAGGATGCCTCGGCTGCCGAAAGAGGGACAGGGTAAGAAGATTAAACTTAAACATTGACATAGGCTCTCGGTCACGATTTTGTCAGCTTATGAGTATAGGTACCAGGGTACTTTCGGTACTCGAATTGACAAAATCGTGAAATTCCGTAATGAGCTCCGCCAACGATGAAACATAATATGATTTGCTTACTTTGTCGGTTTGGTTCAGGAGCTTATACGACACACAATCTCGTTTGCCGCATGACTCTGACGTCGTTCGATCAAGTGCCAGAGCAGCTGGACAAATATTGTTACGTGGAGTTCACGATGCCGACTTCTCAGGTATCGCATACGACCGTCAGGTCGGTTTCGATAGTGAACAGCGAAAAAGACTCTCCTCCGGAAAAATACCTGAGACTGATGGCCAGACACGAGTACAGGTAAAAACCTAACCACAAGAGCACAATATCCTACATGTTAAAATTAGAAATGTGGGTATGCTTAAATTGACAATTAACTCGGTCATAAGACATACACATGTGCCTATGTAGCCGCTTGTAGTGTGAATACTTGATAATTTTTTTTTTTTTTTTAATAAAGATAAAGGATATGGATGATAATTCCGTTTGTTGGTTTTTTTTTTGTGCGTTCAGGGTGGAAATCGAACACATTCACGGTGAAGTCGAAGAGAACCCTTACATGGCGGCAACTGCCGTGCCGAGGACTCCGCAGCCCACGATCAAAGAGAAACCTCAACCGGCCGCGGCAGCTTCTGATAGCGATTCCTCGTCTTAATGAAACCACTTAAGACTTAACGTTATTTCCACAACACTACAAACGGCTTATGGTAACAAGTTGCTCTGTTAACGACATCAATAACAGTGTTTAGCTTATGATCTCTTCCTTGAACTCTAGAATAACATTTTGTATATTAAATTAATTTGTAATTAAAACATAAGTGTATACACTCTACTCTATTTTTTAGACGAGGTAACAATGAATCACACAGTCGTTCACTTTTTATAACTCAGAGGCCTTTTATCATTATTAGCATATACGGTGACAATAACATTACTCTTTAATATGTATATCGTTGGTTCTATACTTGATGATATTTTTAAAATGTTCAATCAGCTATTCAGCTTAACTCGACCCTTTTTTTTTAATATTACCAGTTCTGAATTTCTTATGTGTGCGAAGATTACCTGCAACATAATGTTGGAAATCGCGAGTTTAGGTTATCTAAAAATATACACACGGTTTTCTCATTATGTGACCTCGTTAGTAACAAATCTGATTATCTTATACTACTTATAGAATATTGTTAATGTGTACCTAATTATCGGGTAATATTTACCAACACTATGCGATTACACATGAAGGGGCAAAATGAAAAACTTTAAAAGACTTATCTACTCTTGTTTAAGTATAATATTACTAGTCAATCCACAAATTGCTGTCTACTATTCCGGATAACATTCCGGTTTCATTCTACTCTTTTACCCTTGCATACTACCTATATACGATATTTAGATATAATAATAATAATATATTATTATAACGGTAACTTTTAACCAACAGTATTAATCATTTTTAGCTATCTTTACAATTTATTATTACTACCTAACCTATATGCCTAAAAATTATAACTATTGTATATTATTATCAATTGTATTACATTGTCATTTTTATTTTGTTTTGCATATCACGTAGGTTTACCGTTCTAAACGTTGAAATACAATAAATTGTTTGTTAATCAAACAAAATATTTATAATATAATTAACGTGACAACATATTAGATAACATATTTTCGACGTTTATGATGTAGTGTTTATATCCAAATGATTTTATGTATTTTACTTATATATATATAATAAAATTATACGTTGTGTAAATGTCGCAATAACTATAATAATTATAAGTGGTTAGAAAATAATGGTATGTGTAATACTTTAATTAAAAAAAAAAAAAAAAACCTAAATTATAGAATAGATTAAATTAAACAATAAATAGGATTATTTAAACGGAGCTTCGAGTATTTTCATCAACTGATTCTACATTGTAATATTGACATTGGCGTAAAATAGCATTTAAATAATATATATATATTTATATATATATTGTGATAAAAAAATATTATTTCTTTATATCATTTATTATTTAGATACTATCTAGTGTTATTGTTGTTTTATTGGGTTTTTAGTAGATATACAATTTTGTTAGCTTTCTTTTGTTATTAAATATTTTTAATTGAAATGTATTACCGTAGTCAATAATAAACAAGATAACTTACTTTTTAATTTTTGTTATTATTATTAGAAAATGTTCTTTTTTATGTTGATTGTTAAATAAATTATATTACATAAATAGTTCATCGGTTAAAAAGAAAACTGTTTTAAATAACATTTTGTTGTTAAGATATTTTATATTTAGGTTGGTACGATCCGACACTTACAATATTATTATATATTATTTAAACATACTGTAATAGTTTAATAAGTGCATGCGTAAGTGCGAATAATAATAATAATAATATACCTATTACTTATGTATACAGTATTTAATGTAATATTATATCCATTTGGAAACATTATTATACATATAATAACGATCAATACCTACTTATAATAATAATTGTTTTAATAAAAATAATATATTATTGACATAAACAAATTTCGAGTTGTGTTTATACAATAACAGATTGAACGACTAAAGATAAATTTCAAGTTATTTAAGATTTAAATACAATAAACATGGTATTATTACCTAGTATACTAAAAAAAAAAAAATAATAATAATATAAGGACGTTTAAGTACATTTATGGACAATTATACACATAACACTAAAAACCCCATAAGGGTAAATAAATACAATGGTGTAGAAACTAACAGTTTTGTGATAAACACAAGAAATTTACCTACATCTACAATTATTGACGTTATTAAAAATGTTTTTATTTATTTTTAGTATCAAAACAACAAAAATACTACTTTAGGTCATTGTGAAAATTATATAAGTTCAACCAAAAGTATGAGATTGGTCCATTTAGACCCGAGTATTATACTTATAATATATAATTTCATATAAGCAGTGGCGCAAGTAGGGGGGAGGGTTTGTACATCATGTGGAGTAATGAGTGTAGACTATCTATTTAGAGTAATCTGTAATTCTGTAACATAACATTCTATAATATCGTGTTGCCCTAGAACATTAAATATATTTTTAAAACCCCTTCCAGGGGTCACAACTCCCCCCTCCGGTTGCGCCACTGCATATAATTAAACTTTAAGAAACATAAAATATGATATTACGTTATAGACGGTTTCATGAATACTATGATGTTGTTTACAATTGAAAAATATGTATTTAAAGTACATTATCAATAAAGATTTTATCGAGAACCACTCAATATCTCATTGGGTTTAATAATTAATTACATTTTTTTTTTTCATAGTGTTTTTATACAAATGTGATCTCAATTGTGAACAATTTAGATCATATTGTTTAAAAAACACTATGTACAAAAAAAAAAAAATATATCTTATTATAAACTCTATGCCATATTGTGTAGTTCACGTTAAAATGTGATCACCTGTACTGATATAATACTAGGTATATTATTGAAGTGAAAGGTTTTGGCGATTGGAGTTCACACAACTTGTAAAACACCTGTTGCCAACTGCTGGTGACTAGTGCGGTACGATTGCACTTTTCCAAGGTATATATGTACAGGTACCTTATAAGGTAAGTTTATGTTGGTAATGTAATTTCACACGAAACGATTTCCCATTGTCGGTGGGGCCACTGCAAGACGTTCACATTTCAAACGTCTCGATTTTGTTGGAAAACGACACCGACCTGGTGGTTTTCGCTTTTCTTTTGTGCTCGACCCCGTTGGCTTTTATCAACCGGTCGGACACCAAAGACGAGAACAGAATGGGTTGGAGATCTTTGACGTCGGGCTCGAAGAACAGACTGGCCATCAACGCCACCGCCGCCGTGGTGAAAAACCCCATAACGATATAGTACATGTAGCTTATCTTGTATATGTACAAATAATCACTTTGATCGGCGACCCTGCGAAAATAACAGTGAAATTACAAGTGGTTTGCTTAATTCCAGACGTTTTGGACCAAAGCAAAACCCCCTACAAAGTTTCGACTTTACCATCTTAGCCTTACACTCCCAACTACTTGGCGCTGGCCACCCCAGCTACTAACCTCTCTTTCCCTCTACACATCAACTCTCACTGTCTCTGCCTCGTCTCTCCTCATACAACGACCCAACCATCTCAACTTGTTCTCTCTCGTTTTTCCCACGACCTATGCAACTCTATTCATTTCTTATTCTGTCCTCCCTAGTCGCTCCACTCGTCCATCTTATCATGTTCATCTCCGCTACACTCATTTTCTGTTCGGTTATCTTGTCTTCTGACAACTATCGATGCAAAAACTTGCAACTAATTAAATATGTAAATGCCTACATTGGCGAATCCGTGGACGGAAAATTGTGGTAATCGTTATAAGCAATGGCACTCGTGCATCCATTGGTGTAAGTCGGCAAGTTTTCAATTGGCGGCTTCGGACCGCCCAATCCGATGATGAACAGCAACACGAGACCCACCGACAAGCCAATCAACGATCCCTGCAAACGTTGGAGACACCGTAAGTTATTTTTGAACACATGTTTTGTGTAAACGTTATACATATATATTAGAATGTGTCTAAAAAAGTATTTGTTTTACCTACCTCACCCTTTCCTCAACCCTCCTACCATCAATCAAAAGTAGCCTATTCAAATAAGAATTCAGATTCCTGCTTAAATCCAAGTACGTGCTCGTGAATTATACCTGTGACTTTGGTCAAGAAGGGCCATTGTCACTTTCTGCTTGGAAAATGAGCTTTAGGTTTTAATTTTACATAAAGTACTATAAGTTTTCACACGCTCTTAAAAACTATTACTTTTTAAATAATAAACTTACAACTATGATTTTTGTTGGACTGGATTGAGCGTAGGCATTCTAAAATTTCAGATTAGCCCTTTTAGACCCAAGACACAGTTTATTAATTTATTTTTTGTCTTCATATTACCTTTTGGTTAACGTACGGCACGAGTATGCCGAGCGTGAACACGGCCAGTATTGGTCCGCCGATAATGCCGAATATTGTCATGGAAGCTTGCAACAAAGGGCCAACGAAATGCGCACAGAAGCCCAGCAGTATTGTTATGACGCCGTAAAAGACCACTAACGCCTTGAGACAATACACTCGCTTTTGATCGGTCATCTTGCCGTTTGCAAAAGGCTGAAACGATCAAAAAAACATAGCGATAATAATTATCGTCAGAGTCAAAGCTAAACCGAACCAACACAACATCCAAATAGCCTTCCTTTTTCTCCATTAATGCACACCTGTACTAGTAAATTTACACGAAAGTCGTACATCTATTATCAAATCTAGTCCTGATCAAATTGGGCTATCTTTGGAGCTATTCACAAAGTGCTAACAATTTTTACTTACCACTCATAATTAGACACCGGATAAGTTACACAGATGATGGTAGCTAGGATTTTTGACTTTGTTAATATGTATATATTCTATGTCAGGTACTAAAGAAAAATTTGTCCGTCACAGAGATAAGAGATGAAATATTAGAGATACGAGATTAGAGATAAAATGTGTACCGTGGTTGCGGACTCGTACGCAAGCTGTTGTAAAGGGATGGGGTTGGGGATGGGGATGGGAATGGGGACGGAAATGGAAATGGAGTTGGAGTTTCATTTCTTTATACGTCTGCTACGGTGTTTCTGGTTCTGACCAGTTGACTTAAATGAATGGTTAAATTGATTAAAGATAAAAATTCAAAGTATTCACACTACAAGCGGATACACAGACACATGTATATGTTGTAATGTTAGAGATCTATATCATATTTTTTACTCTATGGTACAAACTCACAGCTATGTAATCTTCTAGGGTGACAGCGGCCAGCGAGTTCAACGCAGCGGACACTGAACACAACGCAGACGAGCACACTCCGGCCAAGAAGAGTCCTGTTAATCCAGGAATAGATCCCATGGTGTCGAGTACAAACAACGACATCAGCTGGTCGCCGGTCGTTATCCTGTGTGTTCTGCAACGGCACAATCGTTACCTATCAATAACCGCAAGAAATAATCGGATAACGTGTAAAATGCACTTCACATGGCTGCAATAGAGTGATGAACGATTGTGTTTTTATTACTTAATCGGATCACAGTGCCGGTACATGGCGAATATGGCCAGCCCCGAAAAGCACATGGACAGAGAGAGGAATGCGGTGATCGGCCAACTGAACCAAAGCGTCTTGACCGCCGTTTGGTAATTCTTCATGGTCAAGTAACGTTGGATTTGTACCTGGTTGGTAGCATACACCGAGACATAAGTGAACATTCCGCCTATGAACAAGCTCCACCACGAGTGCCTGACCGTCGGGTCTAACTGAAAACTACATTAATAATTTTCGATGAGCCAAAGAACGTGTGATGTTTAAGGTTAATAGCTCAAGTACCTTGAACTATGATTTAAGGACTCGTTTGATTTTAAACAAACTACAAATGTTAAAAGCTAATTTTTAATAAAAATAATACATAAATTTACCATTTGAATACACTAGCCAAAAGCATTATACAATTTACACCTTAGTGCTACACCTATGAAGTCATAAAAAGAGTTTCGGTCAAGATACAGCATTTTTTAAATAATATTACATAACACACAATACTACATTTGATTTAGGTATTAATTATTATATACCCTGCTTACCAGCGACTGAGTTATATAAAGTGACAGACCGAAAAATATCAAATTTACAAATCTACAAAGGTATTTTCAATAAACGTTACCCTAATTCATTTTTTTGTCACACTTTTTTACACCAGCCAATAATTATAGTATAGCGTCTCATTATGCAAAAAAAAAAATTAAATATGGTTTTTCTTTATTTATATAAATCTCTAGAATTTATCTTTATAAACAAGGTAAGTAAAGACCATTAAACTATTATAATACTGTTTATGGAAAAAAGTGTTTTTAATTAATAAATCTGCGGATATTGTGCATAAAGTTTTAAAACCCCTTAGTCTTTTTATGGAGAATATAAATTATAATCTTGCTTTTACATTAAAATTGATTTTGCGCATTATACAATTTAGTAATTTAGATTATCTGGATTTATTCTTAATTTTCAACCATTATAAACTTATTCCTTACGGCTTGCAGCTTAAACTATTCTCACAGTCATTTCTATAAAATAAATTACAAATTTTCCCATCAAAATACTTATACCAAAAGGCTTTGGAATTTTTATCACTAAATCGCTAAATTTCCACAATAAACAGAGGAGAGCTTTATCTGCGGTTAAGCGTTACTACATTTTCCATAACTACATTCATTTTTAATAGTTCATTGAAAATACAAAAAAAAAACTATGCTTTAAAAATTCACAGAAAAAAAATCAATTGATCTATCGAGAAATTGTCACGCTTAAGCATAGATAATAATATTCTCCTTTTATTATTCTATGGAAATTTTGTAATTTTTTTTAAATTGTTCAATTTGATTTACTTGTCAAATTCGATACGGCCATAATGATTAGCAATGTTCCAAATTTCCGTTACTCCGCCTACTTCCACAGCTGCGACGATGATAACAGCAAAAATAGTTCCAAACATGAGTATAGACTAAAACATAAAATATAGTTGTTTAATTTAATTATTTTTCATAAGAGATGGGCAAAATAAGAACTCTGTGTACATTAAAAATCGTTCCTTTAACGATCAAATAAAATGTGGAAACAAATTTATACTTTTGTTGGCGCCATGTTTAATCGAGGCTTGTAAAATTAAAAAAAAAAAACAAGAAAAACTATTATTGATCACCATGTATGTATACGAATCACAATCTAAACACATTAAAAAAAAATTACTTATAAATCATTGCGATTTAATAACATTGGTTTAGCTTAATAAAAAAAAAGATATATAATTAATTGTAAAATTGCTTTTGAGTATAATTATTATTTTTTTTTAGCAACAAAGTAGAATTTAATGTTATTAATATAAGTAACAAATATTTTGATGACATTATAATTTATACTAAAACCCATTTAAACTGTTTTGCTTTTTAACAAGCGGTTTGCCTAACCGTTTTGTCAATCAAACGGTGCTTTACTGTTTTTAAGCTATTAAGTCGTTATGAAAGATAATTAAATAGGCATTTAATGAATTTCTAACCGCTTGGAATTATTTGATGTATTATTAAGTTTCAAAACGTTTTAATCGCTTCGTATAAAAGTAGTAGTAAACCGTATACTTAATTAGTTCATATGTAAAAACATAATAATATTTTGACAATTATTATTGCTTTATTTTCATAAAACGTTGAAAATTATTATTATCCTTCCTAATACCGAGTACTATCATTAAAATGAGAGTTGTGCAAATTCGAATAACACGTTATTCGATGGAAAACATTACTAGATTGAAAAATTATTTGAATAATTAATTTTGAAATTATCAGGATAAAAAACTTTTTTCCTATATATTATATTGGCTTTATATTATATTTTATAAACGTAGTAGGTGTATAATAAATATTTACGAAATATTGTTTTAAACAAATAATTACTTATAAAAAGCACTTTCAAAATATCTGAATAATTGATTTTGAATTTATTCGAATACATATTTGTTTGAATAGTTTCAAAAAGAATTAAACAAATAATTTTTCATTCGAATAAAATATTATTTGAAAAATTATGTTTGGAATTATTCGAATAAAAAATGATTTTTATACAATTATTTTTGAAATTATTCGAATAACTTTTAATCGAATGAAATATTATTCGAAAAATTACGTTTGGAATTATTCGAATAAAAAATTATTTGTATAATTATTTTTGAAATTATTCGAATAACTTTTAATCGAATAATGTGTTATCTAGATGTTTATTCAGAAAACGTTTTATTCGAATGATGCACAACTCTGATTTCAACAAGACTTAAAATTGAATAAACCTAGAAAAACTTCCTTAAAATTTAGAACACTACATTCTAACCCTACATGTCGATATTGTTATGTGTGCAAACAATATTGTTTTTAAATAGTTACAACGGTTTTCTCAGAGATGGCGATACCGTTACCGGTAAAGAAAGCCTTGGTTTTTAAGTCGAGGCCTACTGCGATAAACATAAAAAAAAATGTGTTATTATACTTGACCCGACTACCTGAAAAAGATCAGTAACGATCACGGCCTTGATGCCGCCAACCGACGAGTAAAACGTGCAAACGGCACCGACCACCGCCATGGACAGGGCCTGAGGTACGCTTGTAATCGCTTCCACGGCAAGAGCAGCAGCATACAGTGCCAATGCAGTGCGCAAGACTGTTTGCAAGCTGAATGCCAACGACGTCGTTATTCTGACCGCCTTTCCGAAACGTTCTTCTAAATACTAAAACGTGTGTTTTTTTAAAAAGTTAATTACAATAGAATTTCATTTTGTAAGACGGTCGTGTGGAAAACGGTGATAACCTGATAAATGGACAGATATCCCAGTTTGTAAAAAACGGGCAAAAACAAATAGGCCACGATAGGTGTGCCCAGGATGTTGGACGCGTTGATGACCATGAACTGGGTTCCTCGCATGTAGTTCTCAGCGCTCAGTCCAAACATGGAAGTGGCGCACATAAAGCTCACCATCAATGAGAAACCCACTGGTATGATTGATAAATTTTTGTCGCCCAACACATACTCCTAAAAAAGTCGGACCAAGTTGCAAACGTGACGTTACATTCGTACTGGGTTCGCTAAAGTTTTAAGTTCGCCGAGATTTTAACAGATTAACTGCCTTAACAGCTCAAACCCAAGACACCCTCGTGGCACGACGCCACGTTACACTTGGAATTTCGTGCCTATTCATATTTTAGTATAGCCTTATTGGCAGACATTCTGGACAGGTGGTGCTATTCCTTAGAAAAAGCCATACGGTTTCCCTAACCTCACCCCCTCCCCCGGTTACAAAAACAATGAGTATATTTGTTAAAAAAAAAACAATTAAAAATATTATATGCTCGTATCGAAAATTAAGCAAAAACTCTATGAAAAAACACAAGTCTGATAATAAATTCAACCCAACTCGAGCTTGTCGGTAGTGCAAATACTCAGTTTGACTATTCGTTGTAACTTTTATATCTAACACTGGATTATGGTTTTAGTAGTAGTAGTATTTTGAAAAACAAACTTATTCGCTGTGATGTAAATCAAATATCGAGCTGTAGAAATTATCAATTCATTTGAATTCCGAATTACAATTAAATGCCTAGACAAATATCTAAAGAAAACCGTGTTATTTAGCTAAATTGATAACAGAAGATGAGACGTTAACTATATTTTTATTATTATTAAATATTAACATATTATGTACAACACCGAGACTTGACAAGATAATTATGAAAATTGGTCGTTACCGAATTATAGGCATAGAAAAAAAAACGAAATTGAAATGTTTTATGTGTAACTTTAGAGTGGTATAACAAAAAAAAATGTAGACACAACAAGGCGGTATAATATTATTATCTCTGCTCGTTGAGTTTTTTTAATTTAATCTCGACAACCTGTATGAATATTTTTTTTTTCGCTATCAACACTCGACTCACGTGTTGTCAGAAATTATTTTAAACATATACAAATATTATGTACCCGGCTAGCTGATAATATATAAAATAATTATGTTTGTTAGGCGGAACAACGCTGAAATTAATAATCGTACCTACCGGCGGTAATTAATCTGTTTGAACCAAGTAGTATTAGATGTGTGAACAAATAACAAAACATTTTATTGATCGAAAAATATAATTATTATCCGTTTACGTACCTGGGTAGTTTTTTGTTTACCGCCGGTGAGTTGATAATACAGCCCGATTAGGACGAACCCGAGAAGAGTAACGCCCAGGACGGCATAGTCGGAAACGGTCAGGGCCATCGATTAAAAAAAAAAAATGGTTATAATAAATAAATGCAAAAATATACAGAGAATACAAAACACGGTATTAGCGCGTTGGCTAATGTACCAACTGTAATATGCAAATTTCAAGAAAAAAAAACAATTATTTGTGTATTCAAAATTTACAAGCAACAGTACAACAACAACATTTTTCACACCAAATCGCACGAGACACACAGCTGTAGCTAACTATTCTAAATTTTCAAATGATAAAGCAATAATAATGCGCTCCTTATCGGATATTTAGAAATAATTATTTTATCGACACACTTGAAACGCGTTTTAAGATAAACAACACACAATGTACATGATGATATTATTGTGTTATCTGTCTTCTCTGGCTTAAACGCGCCACAGCGTTTGTTAAACCTTTTTATAAACAACATCTTGCACCACCGTTACCATTCTAATAGGTACCTAACTCTCTAAATACAATTCACAAGTTACTACTCATAGGACTTACAATAAATATTTGATCGTCACCTAAATATTAAGCGGACAAAATAATATATAACATGTCCGGACTTATTAACAAATGGACTTAAAATCAATTTATAGTCAATAACTTGAAAAACTCTTAACTGCTCTCCTGTAAAGCTAAGTGTTTAGCACTTACAACTTTTGGCTTTAAGCCATTGATATATGTGATCTCTTAAACTCATATTACTCTTTGTACGATAATTCTGTACTTGTAGTCAGAGTTTTGCATCATTCGAATAAAACGTTATCCAAATAATCATTTAGATAACACATTATTCAAGTAAAAGTTATTCGAATAATTTCAGAAATAATTATTCAAATAGTTTCAAACATAAATTATTTAAATATTTAGTAAGTGTTTTTTTTAAGTTATTATTTTTTTTAAATATATTTCGTATAAATATTATATAATATACTATAATTTTACAAAATATATATAAAACCAGTATATACAGTTTTTTATTCGAATAATTTCCAAAATAATTATTCGAACAAATTGTGTAAAAAATATCAACGTCATATTAAGCAGCTTATAATACCTTATTATAATGTTATCGTTGAAGTTTTTATTATTTTCTACTGCATAATAGTTAATACCATACGGATTTTAATTTACCAACGCGAATATTAAAAAAAAAAAATTTAAACAATAAACATACAGATATATAACCAGTATATATTACTTCAGTTGTTAGATAACACTAGTTTTGAAGAACTCCATTTTTATACATGTTTGAAAGCTTGCCATTCGTTTTAATATCATATTGGCGGTAGTTACGTCTAACATAATTTTACGGTTTCTCTCTCTTACATAATGATTTAATTAAGTAATTATTATTACACTCGTATGGTGTTGTTCTGCTTCAAACATTTTCCATCTTCTCTACTCGGGCGCCACTTTGTAAACTGCTAAAGCTATTATTCTCAAATGTATTCCTCTCTAAGTCCCCCCGTCTAATTACTTTGCGTTATGTAATTTTGCGTCACTCGGCTGCATTTATAACAAATTGCGGTGACGTAATCGCATTATTAAGCTCGGCCAAAGGATTACCGGCATTTTTTAATGGTCGCAGAACGGTAACTGATGGCAAACCTAATCGATGAGCCTCCTAAATCGTTCGCGAAATGCTCGGGCCATTGCGTCCAATAATTATTTCATTTCAATTCGGTATAGGTACATAATTAAAACGTTCGAGTAAACCCCAATATTCTACCTTGTGCCATGTTTTCATTGACCATTGAACACCGGCTAAATAGAGTAGAGGTATTGTCCCCCCAACCGTGGTGTCGGATTGATGGATCGGTCAATAAGGTCAAACGTGCAGATGATAATATACACAGCGACCGCTTGCACGTGGAGAAGTTATTTTCAATGTGACCAAACAGCTCGGATTCAAAGGGTTCGACGGTACAATAATATAGGGTAGACCAAAACTCGAGGACGGTAAAAATGCGTAGAGAAAAAAAAATACCGTAAAAAGTGGAAGCGTTCCGCCGATTTGGAAAAAAATCGACAAACTTACAACAGCAAAAACCAACAAAAGTATCGCATAAATAAATTCCTTTTAGCTGCGCGCAAGTTATTTTTTATTTTGGTATGTTTTTTCGTAGCCACAAAGCGGCGCGGCCAACCCTGTACGCCTGCTATACCCTCGCCGATTTCGCGATTGTAGTGTGTATGTGTTATTTCGAATAGGATAAGGTCGTGCCCTGGAAAAGTTTGATCAATTACCCTCTCGGTGGCCGCATGGCCTAGTTATACTCAATATTGTGGTTCAATCGAACATTGGCTCTTTTTTTTTTCACACGATAAAAGCAAGTTTACAACTGTTTTTTTTTATGAAGTACCGACTAAAATTATGACAAAATCTATATTGATTTATAACCCAATGCCATCGTCGAGTAAAGAAATCATGTTACAGAGTTGTGCACCATTCGAATAAAACGTTAACTGAATAATCTGGATAACACATTATTCGATTAAAAGTTTTTCGAATAATTTCAAAAACAATTATACAAATAATTTGTTATTCAAATAATTCCAAACATAATTATTCGAGTAATATTATATTCGAATAATTTTTAAACAGTTAGTCAAAAAAATTGAAAAACTTTAAACTGCTCACCTGTAAAACTAAGTGTTTGGGACTTATAACTTTTGACCTTTAAGCCATTTGATATATACTCATAAACTTTATTAATTCATGTTATTGTATTTACAAGAATTCTGTACTTGTGGTCAGAGTTGTGCATCATAAACGTCATCTAAGTAATCATCTAGATAAATCATTATTCGAGTAGAAGTTATTCGAATAATTTCCAAAATAATTATTTATTCGAATAATTTTTTAACAACATATTCAAGTAGTTTGTAAGTGTTTTTTTAATTAATTATATTTTAAAACATTATTTTATATAATTGTAATATTATATACTACATTTACAAAATAAATAAAACCAGTACACATTTATAGATATATATATATATATATATAAGAAAACAGTTTTTATTCTAATTAATAGTAAACAAATTATTCGAATAAAAAATGATTCCAATAAGTTGTGAAATAATTATAAGAATAAGAATTTGTTCAATTCTGGTTACTATACTGTAATGTGTGAGATATTTTAAGATTAGAAAACGGTTAAAATGAGCTTTTTAATCATACAAATGTATGTGTTCCGTGTAAACAGTAACGATTAAATATTTTTTTATTCAATCAGTGGTAAGTAAAACAATTGTGTTAATCGCACAGGGTCAGGTTTGATCTGTTTGATTACAGACACATCTATCTAGTACGTATAGTCATGCACGAATACACCTAAGCACTATTTTTAAATCCTCATCGTAGCACGTAATGACAGCCGTATGTACCCACGTGTTCGCTGCCACACCTTCGTATCATTTATCATGTGCATTGACTTGTAAGGGTGTGAAAATTCAGCTTTGCGAAAGCCGGTTAGATGCGAGTAATGAAAATACAGATTGTTTTTACTAAACAGCCGGATATTAATTCTCGAAAAAAAAAAACTATAAATGTCTACACGTTTGCCCTTTTTGACTAATCCATCAATAACAATTTGTAATAAACGATTCTAAGTAACCGCATGACTCTCTTAAGTATATCTACTTGTACACACAACTAAAGGGCATACAAAAGAAATGTTAAGAAAAATCAAGATTACTTTCAAAATCTCTATCGGGTGCAAATGAAGTGAGGCACGACAGGAACAAGTAGGTACTCCATCGGTTAGCTTTAGCTTTAATACATTTATTTTAAATTATATGTTTTTTTTGAATAAAGGACCTTTGTTGGAAATTGTCAATGTTGGAATATATATAAGTTGGATAACAATACTTAATATTGTACTTTTACTATTAGGTTGGTTGCGATTGGGGTTGATTGTTTTTTCTGTAATAATTTGTTGTCGTTGTTACCCCCTTTATGATAACCAAAGATATAATGCAAATATACTTCAGGTGCTTGTTGACCAACAAACTTACAACCGTCAAAGTGTAATTTTCCCCTTTAGTTTGGTTTTTATTCAATAAAAAAGAAAACCGTATATAAAACTATAGACCCATTTTTAGAAAAAAAATCTTTAGAATACTAAAGAAAAATAATTGTTTTCCCACACAAGTCAAAACTTAACAATAGCTATAATCAATCATGGTCCTTTTATAGGCTTTTAAAAAACGTGTCTTAAAAGTGTACAAAGTTAAGCATAATTAAAAAAAGAAACCTAGTATATTATCTTGTGTGTTATTTAAATGAACATATGTCTACACATTACTTGAAAGGAACAGATTTAAGTGTATAGTCATTTTCTGAATATTTTCAACGGGATTTATGTTTAGTATATTTTGTATTGTAAAATATAATCAAATGATATAGCGAGGTAGAAATAAAAACATATTAACACATCTGTGTATACAAATCCTAAAAAGGTATATTATGTGATTCGAGAATATTGCCAACTTATGATATATTACTAGCATAACCATCGATTTTCTAAGCTATTATAATAAGTGCTCACACAAAAAAAGTACCCAAATTCGAGCGAAATGATGTTATTAGTTGAAAATTATTGCAGAAAATGTGTATTTGGGGTCGGATTGGCACAACCACCAAAAAATGAGTAAAAAACCCTAATAATTTGGTTAGACTAATAATAGTAATTATCAGTTATTGTTTTTTGTTGTTGATGACCAGCCATACTTTGCACGAAAAACTACTCTTTAAAATATTTATGTTATTTGTATTTTTATTAATATATAAATATAATTAATATTTGATATTTATAATACGATAAGATGTTAAGAAAAACCATATGGAATAATAATTTATATAATTGTTAACAAAAATGATGCGCTATTGTTTCCAATTGTATACATTATTTCTTAAAAAAATTACCTATTTTGTAATATATTACAACTTCGTAGAATGACAAGGTTAGACACAATAATTATCCAGGAAGATCTTTTAAGCGGGATTTTCCCAATTTTAAAAATGATAAAAGTATAGCACTAGATGCTAATGTATGTCAATAGATAACCGATATTCATCTACACAATTGAAATACATATGGGAACCCAGAGATTCATAGTCTTGATAATTATATGCAACGCTATTGCAATACACAATTTCTAACCTCTTTTCTATAAAATTATAAAAAAAAAAAACACTTCACACATCTTCGTCAAAGGCATCGATATGTTTGTATGGTTTTAATACTGCAAATATACTTGTGTAATTATTTATAAAGTTGTGCAAATATGCAATTAAATAATAATGCTACACCTAAAAAGTTTAATAGCAATTATTTTTTATATAATTATGCACTGACAGCATTTTTTTTTTTTGTCAATTCTATATTCAAAGGCGGTAAAAATCATTCGTTTTGTCTCGCAGTTTAACTCTAGTTTATACTTGATTGGATAGTACAATGTTTTTAAAGTTCTCTTTTCTGTTACTATTTTTTATCCTAGCGGCTAGCTGTATGGATCCGGACTACCCCGAAGCTTCAAATTCAGCCGAAGATAAAAGTGAAGCTAAAGTAATACATACTATTATTTTAAATCTATTAGATTGTTGTCAATATTTTGCTGAATTTTTTATAATATAAAGGTTAAAGTTTTTCATAATAGCCATTCTTATCTAGAAAACTATAATTGTCTTAGCTATTTACTTACAAATAAAATTCTTGTCATAAATATTTATAATTAAAAAGAATCTTTTAATTTTAATGTTGAACAATTGTGTTGATATTGCTATTAGGATTTTATCCTAGCGGCTAGCTGTATGGATTCGGACCAACCTGAAGCTTCATGTTCTGCTAGTTTTGCTGCATCAAGTTCTGCTGATCCTGAACAGAAATCTAAGGTAGTTCATAGGATTTTTTTAAAACTATTAGGTTTTGTCAATATTTTGCTAAATAATAGAATGGTTAGTGTTTTCCTAAATAGCCATTCTTATCTAGGAAACTATTATTATCATATTAGCTTAAAGGCTTACAAATAAAATTCTTGTAATACACATTTATAATCGAAATAACTTTTTAGTATTGTTTGTCAAATAATTGTTTAAATATTGTTATAGCAGATTATAGTTAGAATCATAACTCAATCATTTTATTAAAATGTATTCAATATGATAAATGTTTTACTTAAAACTTTTTTTAGTCTAAAAATATATACATTTTACTATTTTATAAATTGGTAAATATCAAGTTCTTTCACTCATTGATTAATAATTAATTATTGGTGTCCGTTAATGCAAACAACACAAACAATATCTTCTAAATAAAATAATTTTTTTTTTTTAATTTAAAATATAAGACTTGTGTTTAATCGGATTTTTTTATGGAATTAAACTTTGTACTGATAAACAATTTTTAGATTATAGAAGATGTGTTCATGGATTGTACAAATTGGATTAGCACCCAACACAAAAATAACCTACCGGTTGATAGGATTACAACGCTTCAATTTTGCATCTACATGGGAGACACCCCAAAAGACTATGAAATCGTCAAGGAGTACTTACAGAGACACTTGGATCAGTCATTGGAACACATGTGTAAACATTAACTACACACGTTACATAGAATTTAATTATATTTTTTCACCTTTGAAATTTTGATTTTGTTTTTCGTTTAAGACTACATAGATTTACAAGCGTTTGGTGAACTTTTCGAAAATCATTGCGGCTATTACGGCTTATCCGTTGAAGAATGCGCTGTACAAAGGAAAGCCGCAACAGTAGTAATGATAGAAGAAGAGAAAAAAAAATGGCTGGCATATCGGAAACAGATGTATCTGGAAAGCAAATTAGCCGACTGAATAGTAGAAAAAAATTAATGTATTATATAAGAAAAATAAAAATGACTATAATTTTATTAGTAATTTAAAATAGGGCAAATTTGAGTAGCTTTTCACTAAGTATAGCATTATTAAGTAGTACTTGAAGGAGTATTAGCTTTATAGCAAAGAATTATAATAAAAAATTGTGTTTTAATAATATTAAACGAAAATTAAACATCCTTTTAGAGAGACATCGAGTAAATACCAATTTTCGAACCTTTTTTAAAATTACAACAATTATTTAAAAAAACAAAACAAATATCACTCTTTTTTACAAACTTTAGATATAATACAATATTTTTTATATAACAACATAGCTCTACTCAACTGTAACGACTAACCCCATACAGAGTTTTTTCTTATACATAGTAATCACAAGAAAGCTTGCTATTATTTTTGCAATTTATATATTATAGAAATCAATACTATTCAATAAATATACAATAAGAGAAGTCAACTAGAATTCACTATTTTTTTTATAAATTATACAATCGAACAGTTCAACAAAACGGAACCGCCAATGACCATTTAAAAAAATTAAAATTGATTGTGTTAGTCGGTAGTCCACACTCCACTGTCCATCATTTTGGAATTATTTAATAATTGTTCCCTTTGCTTTAAATACCTAAATTATTTGGTTGTCGTATAAACTTATTTTTTACTTATTCACAGCCATATTTTATACATAATAGATAAATTGATGTACAGTCATGTTGTTTTGAGATAACCATAAAAGGTACAAATCCATATATTGATATTTTTTTTTTTTTAATGGGTACCTAACCAAATAGTCATCTTAATAAATGAAAATAATTTCACAACGAGCACAACTAAATGATTGGTTGAATTTATTCAAAATAACTGATCAGGTGAGAGTTGCCAGTAAACCGATTAAGACCAAATATTAAAAAACATTTGACCACAACATAAAATTAAGACTACACTATCATCATATATCGCAAGGAGATTATAGATCAGAAATAATAATTATTCAAGAGCCAGCAGACTAAAGCATGTTGCATGTATTATCACTTCAAGCCTAAGTAGACTGTAACTATTTTCGTTGTACAATAACAGGGTAGCCTAAAAAATGTATAATGAATAGTTATTTTCTATCCACAGCTTCCCAACGAACCGTTTGTTTGAAAATGAGTATGTTACTATCAAAGAAAATAATTTATTCCTGAACGCCTTTAACCTTCCCGGCTGTGCATCGGTGGTTTTTTTTTTAAATTAAAACAAATATGTAAGTTTTGATTAAACGGTAAGACCGTAGAAAAATGAGTTTTTGCAAAGTATAAACACTTACAGTGCTATTAAGGCATTTGCAAGGTAAACGTTGTATACATAAAGTAACATATTATATTCAATTTGTACACGTTGTTTTTATAGAAAATGCACCTCGCACAAATAAACTAGAGTACAATCTGCGCTTAGACTATCCGACACGCACACTTTATTTGCCCATAAGACACATTGGTTAATGTAATGTACTTACACTTGAAAATATGCACGAAAAACAATAGTTATTGTTCAGTATGTATAAACTAGATATTTATCGTAAAATTATTTCTTACCTAAGACTAGAGCATTTTTTGGCACACATAAAATTATATTTCCTTTTAAAATAAAAACGATTTTCATAGTCACCGTCCGTCAATGTAATATTTATGACTCAAAAATATAATATAAGAGAAAACGACTTATGTCTTTTAATGAAAATAAATTATATTTTATAATAATTATGGCTGTACTATAAATACATATAGTATAGCAACTTATAAGAGAATTGTCTGATAAAATACAGACCATCAGCCAACGATGAGACATTTTCATGGTTATTTAAGGGAAAGATTGAATTCAGCTGACAGGAAGAATTGGTTGTGTGACGGGCTGGTCCTAGTGGCCGAAAACACCCAAGAAGCTAAACTACGATAATAAAAACCATTAAAAGTAAATAATTGTTTTGGCAATATTGTTTTTTCGTGCTGACCTCAATGGTGTTTTAAAAATATTTTTCTGGTCGCGTTTGCTTGTCGAGTTACACACAAAACAACTACATAGAACGTGCAAAATCAAATATTATCCTTTTAGGAAATAAACTTCTTTACAATGTTTTTCTTAATGCGATATGAGTACGGTTACTTATTAAGTGATAAAATAATACAAGAAGTATTTAAAAAAATAATTTATCCGGGACAAGTTTGAATTATGTCATTTTGTTAATAGGTAATCTTCCTGTTTTGTTGAGTATATTATATTTGCACGTCGATAAGTTATAATTTGGTTTGAATTTAAAATTAAATCCACTCGCTTTATTTTACCGGCGTCCAAGACTGATATGAGCAAACTCTGCACTATATTATACTGGAGCTGTGTACACTATCAATCAACCCATGCACCGCCGGACATCTATACAATGTAAATAGCAATATACATAATGTATATCATATTAAAATTTAGCGACATTCCATTTCTATTACCCTGCTTAAAACTACACGTGTTATACAATTATTGTAATAATTATTAAATTAAACCATGGCTAGTGCATTAAGAACCTAGTTGGTGTAGATCCGCTCATTCAAGATGCAATCATCCAGCGAAGATGTAGTTGCTTAGATGTCTATAACAATTAATATTAAAAACAAAAGATGGGAAAGATGACCCACTAGAGGGACACCAGACGATACAGGAATATAAAACTTGTTAATCACTAATTACAAATGTTTATTTGGAATTTAACAGCGTCAAAAATCATTATATTCAGAAAACGTTTATATTGTCTAGACGACTAACGTGTATCTTCGAAACCAAGTTGATCTGAACCACTTGTTGACCCCTGGTTGATTTCATCAATGTAATCTATGAGCGACCGAATGACGCCGAAATCAACTCCGGTGAATACAAATTTCAGATAGTCTATGAAAGCGTTTGCGGAAATCTCAGAACTTATTTCCACCAGTTCGCCATTGGCCAGTAACAGGTCTCGCGAAAAACTTTCTCTTGTCGCCTGGTCCAAGACCATCGGTTCGGTCGCATTGCACTGTATCGAGTTGCCGCTAATCTGCAGTATTACTTTTAAATCGCCTATCACGTTTGCTACCGTTGTCTTTTGGTCGGCGAGCGTGTCGAGAGCTTCTAGCAAATCCTTCATTTGAGGATCGTTTTCGATGCGTAACACAAGTCCGAACTGCCGTAGCAACTCGTGCCATCGTTGTGCGTATTGCGAACAAACGGGCGAATCGCTTTCTACTTGTTCGATGTGCAACAGGTGTTTCCACGTGAGCCGGAAAAAAACGATTTTGAAAAAATCAAAATGCACCGTGTAAAACGATTTGATGTTTCCCAGGTTATCGGTGTCCCATGCCAGTTTGGCCGCATTCTTCCAGGCCGCCCTGAGCGTTTTATTGGTGACGGTCAAATTCACTTCCATGTCGTACCAAGTCTCCAGTACATATTTCACGTTGTGATCGACCCAGAATCGTTTCAAGAACAGATTTTTCATTAGCAACGACGCGGTCCACGCCTTGGTCATCCGGTACCGGTTTCGGTCCATTGATTTCATTATTTCTTTGGCGTAACTCCGAAACTCCAGGTTATTCTTCCTGGCCATGTCTTTTATTCCAGAGAAGTCGGGCTTAGGATTTCCCGCGAGCCACCGGTGGCACCAATCGTCCAGTTCATAAAACAGACAACCGGTATCGTCCCAGTCGGACTTCAGTTTTTCGGTAACATAAATATGTATTTCGAAAATTCTTTTCGCGAGGTCCAAAGCCGTGTGTTCCTTATCTACTTCCTTGTGATAGTAACCTCTAAACATTCCCGTGTACAAGTGTAACGTCCACAACGAGCCAATTTGCACATCTGGTAAATCGTACAACATAGATATCATTTGCCTACCGTTGTTCCAAGTAAGTATGCCCACAAGTGTACACGGTTCAACCGTCGTCATTGAAAACGCCAGCAAGGCCAATCGCATATGGGCAAGTCCGTAATGCAAACATTTACATTTTACTTGTACATAGTCCTCGGTGTAAGAGTTTTCAGACGTTGAGTCGGTTTTCTCTGATGGTTCGGGTCGACACATTATCAGTGGTACCGGCAAACTGATCAAGACGATCGATAATAGTAATTTTAATTGCGGCATTTTATAGACAATTATGTGTTTGAAAAAAAAAAACAGAAACACGGGTTATATTGCTTTGGATTGTTCGCGATTTAGATACACGGCTATTGAACAAAAACGTATAATCTTTTATGCAGTGCTGTTATTTTCTATAATACACATACCGTATGTGTGGATAAACAATAACGGTTTTACACATTTTAGTAGATATTTATTTATTTAATCGGCTTAACGCCCGTGTTGTTGTTTAAATAACCAGTGTTAGTGTTGTCGAAGAATTAAAATAATACAGCAAAATATAATGCGTGGTTTTATGGTCGTAGACTATGTTAAACAAAATCTAACCAAATATTTCCAAAATTTTAAAATTAATAGAATACACATCTTAACAGTAGTTAATAGTTGTCTTTTTCAAAATACACAAAATACGAGTAGACATTTGTTACTTTGTTGTATGGTCTCATACATAATATGGTCTAAAATATGGGCGAAGGGAAGAGAGAACTCAAAAGAAAAGCTTTATGCTGTTCTTATCTCGTTTAAGTTCACATCTAGAAAGGCCTTGTCTCATTTATAAACTAGCCAAATGTTAAGCAATAAAAATACAAAAGCAGTGTTGCTCGTGAAATTAGGAGTATAGTGAGGTTATGGACTAAGAGACAGACTTGGCCACAATGTAGATAATATCACACTACTTTGATAGGCATACTCTTAATTTATCATTTGACAATAGGGTTGCTGTGAAATTAAACTAATAACTTGGTTTAATCATAAACAAGACTGTTTGACAATTAAAAATGATAAAAATTAAATAAAGCTCTCAAAAAACAAACTACGCATTCATTTAAATAAGCAAAGCAATGTTTTTAAAATCTATCGAGACATGCAAATTACACTAAATGATATATACAACAAACATTTTATAATATACTTATATACTAATAAATTTATCTAAAAATGTTTTGAATTGTTTTAAGTCTATGAATTGTGGTTGATATTGATTAACAAGGAACTATTTGTTATTTGTATTTAGTTACAAATGAAAAAGTTAGCTGTTGGTTTTAACTTGTAAGCCAATTGTTATTTAAACTGAAATAGTATGTGCTAAAGTATGTTAAGTATTCAAATGGTTTATATTATGTTACATAATACCTAAGCATCTTTATGTATTGATTTTAACTTTTAAGTTGTATACAAATTAAGTAAAAAATCAATATTGTTGTTTTATATTAATTAACTTCTTTGGCGATGTATGTTTTTTTTAAACAAAATATATGTTATTGTTACTTGTAAAAGTAAGGGAAATGATCTAAGAGTTTTTATGGTATTTAATTATTGAATTACTTCATTTACTATCCAACAAATTATACAAAAAATGTAGTTTTTATAATAGCGATGCTATTGGTTTTACAATGATGTGGGCTTTTTTTTGTGCCTGTATACACTGTAACTTCTTAAATACTGGATACTTAATTAATAATTTCTCTTATCTTCGTAAAATTGTATATACTGGCTTGTAGATTTTCCTTTATTTGGTATTATCAATGTGTCGAAACTATATTTATATGTGAATTTTACTGTGGTAATGCAACCACTGGGCTTGTACTCATAACAATAAATAAAAAATAAAAATAATTATATATAATATTTTTATAGTTGTTAAATGTATTTTTGTGTTCATATAAATTGTTTTGAGTTGTGTTTTATTATCATTTGTTTTGTATTGAGTTAGTTAAGAGATGGTCCAGTTAAATGCTGGAGGTGGGGTAAGAGGTTAGAGACATTTTTTTGGTTTTTTAATTTTTTTTTTACATAATATGTTATAGGTATACAGGGTGATCCACTTAACGTGAACCACTTAATATCTCATAGGGCTTAATAAGGAATTAAAATTTAATTTTTCATATTGTTTTTGTACAATGTGATCTCAATTTTTTTCAACATTTTTTGTTTTTTTCCCCCTTCCAACTTAGATTTTTGATAGCAACTTTTGAAACTTAAATGGTGACGTATATATTTTATTAACTTTTTAAATTGAAAATAGTGTATTAAATCTTTTGACTGGTCAATAACCAGTTTCGGATAATTATTTTTAAAGTTATAAGAGTTTTAAAGTTAGGATGGGAGGAGAAGTGCGGTTGGGATATGCGCGCAGATAAAAATAATACTACACTCCACCTTTCCTACTGCCCTAAACTTGAAACCTCAATAACTTCAAAAATAATTATCCAAAACTGGTTATTGACCAGTAAAAATGTTTAATACATTATTTCCAATTAAAAAAGTTAATAAAATATATACGTTACCGTTTAAATTTAAAGAGTTGCTATCAAAAAAACTAAGTTGGGAGGGGGGTAAAAACAAAAAAAATTGAGAAAAATTGAGATCACATTGTATAAAAACAATATGAAAAGTTAAATTTTAATTCCTTATTAAACCCTATGAGATATTGAGTGGTTCACGATAAGTGGATCACCCTATATGGTAGACCAATATTCAGACTGAATTCATAATTACCTAAAAACGAATAAAAAAAAGCCCAACAATTAGTTTTACCTAAAGGTATTAATAATAATTATAGTAGTAGTTATATTTTGTTCATGCCGAATATTATTAAATGAATGTTAAAAATGTTATCAAATTTTTAAATATAATTAATAAATGTACTACTATCTCAAATTTTGTTTAGCATTATATTTTTATACTTGTTAGAAAACCTTTTTTTCAAAACAATTTTTTTTTTTGTCACGCGGGTAAAATAATTTTATATTTATGCGTAGACCCAAGTGTTATAATTTTCATGGGTGAACATAGTTGATACAAAAGATATTAAATTAAAAAAAAAAAAAACGTGTACATGTTACAAGTAAGGTACATATAATAAGTGTCTGTGTACTATAAACGGGATTTATGTAAAGTTGAAATTATTTTGCATTGTAAAAAATCAAATTATATTGCGCAGTAGAAATAAAAACATTTGTGTGTACAAATCCTAATGGATGTATCCTTAAATATTGTAAAAAATAATAACAAACCCCTAAAAAAAATCTCGACCAACAAAATAATTATACTTAAGTACATAAATAGACGAGCAGAATGACAAGCTTAGACAAACTAAGGAATGATTATCTTGGAAGACCTATTAAGCGGGATTTGCCAAAATTTAAAAAATGAAAAAGTATAGCACTAGAAACAAATATATGATCACAATTATTGGTAGCTGATATTTTTCTACGCATTTTACATACATATTTCTTACAATTTCTTAAATATTTTCTGTAAATTAAAAAAAAAAAAACACACACTTCTTTGTTAAAGACATCGATATGTTTTTATTGTTTTATACTAGAAATATATTTGTGTAATTATTTGTATAGTTGTGCACACATGCAACTTAAATAATAATGCCAAATATGAAAAATGTAATAGCAATTCTTTTTCATATAATTTCGTACTTGCAGCATTTTTTTTGCAAATCTATACAAAACAGGCATTCAAAGGCGGTAAAAATCGTTCGTTTTGACTCGCAGTTTAACTACAGTTTATACTTCATTCGATAATACAATGTTTTTTAAGTTCACTATTCTGTTACCAACTTTTATCCTAGCGGCTAGCTGTATGAATCCGGACGAACCTGAAGCTTTAAGTTCAGCTGATGCTGAGGTAACTCATATGATTATTTAAAAACTGTTGTCAATATTTTGCTGAAATTTTCATAGTATAAAAGTTAAAGCTTTCCAAAATAGCCATTTTAATCTAGAAAACTATTGTTATTTTAGCTTAAAGACTTGCAAATACAATTCTTGTCATAATTATTTATATATTTCAAATAAGTTTTTAATACTGCTTGTTAAAAATCGGGTTTTATATTATTATAGTAAATTAAAGTTGAAAACGTCACTTTATCATTTGATTTAAATTTAATAAATCTGATAAATATTTTACTTAAAATTTTGTTTAGCCCAAAAAATGTATACATTTTACTATTTTGGAAATAATAAAATATTAAGTTCTATCACTCATTGATTTAATAATTAATATTTGGTTTTTATAAATCCGATCAAAATAATGAATAGCTTCTAAATAAAGTACAACTTTTTCTAATTAAAAAAATAAGAATTGTGTTACATAGAAAATAATGAAATAATGTCTAGATTAATTTTTATATAATTTATTATTTGGTCATTAAAACATTAAAGCGTATAATGATAGTTTTTTTTCAACAGCTAAAATATATTTGTGTTATATTATAGCAATCAATAAAATAACGTTTAAATTCATTTTAATTTTTTAGTTTGACTAATAAAACATTAAGGCTTGTAATAATGTGACATGTACTTAGCATACCCAAGTCACTACAACTAAAATGTTTTTTGCTAAATTAATTTCAAAACAATAACCATTTTATAAATTTTATTTATATAATTATCTTAATAAAATGTACCTTATATTATTTAAATTTTATAATTGGATTTTTTATGAAATTGTACATTGTATTGATAAAAAATGTTTAGGTTATAAAAGATTCATTCAATGATTGTTTAAAATGGATCGCCGACCAAGGGTACGAAAATAATGATATTAGAATGGGTCATTGTACTATGTATGCGAGTCAAACTACGGATGATTTTAAAATCACGAACGATTACTTAATTGAGAATGCAAACGTAAAATTTGGTAAACATTAACTATCAAGTTTAGGACAGAAGGAAGCTCTCTCCCTCTCATTCTATAACTCTCAAGTTTCTTCTTTTTTTTTTTTTTTGTTTTAGAACCTGCAAGTTTAGAACAATATACTAAAATTTTAAAATACCATTGCGACAAAAAAGGAATATCCGCACAAGAATGCGCTCATGACTGGAACGAAGATAGGGTTAAGATTAATGCTTTTAATAATAATTGTTTTTTTTTACAGCTCAAGTATATTTGTGTTATATTATAACATATTGTTAGTGTTGTATTGTTTTTGAAATTTATTTTTAAAAAAAATTACAACCATTTTTTAGGTTTAATTTAATTATAAGCGATTATTTTTTTGGAATTAAACTTTGTATTGATAAACAACTTTCAGACTATAGAAGATTCGTTCAATGACTGTATGAAATGGATCAACGCCATATCCGACGATTGTTTATTTAATAGTATTACAACGCATCAATTTTGCTTGTACATGGGTGGAACCCCAAACGATTTTAATATCGTGTATAAGTATATTGCCGACCACTTTGTGAAGCAATCGATGGAAAACTTATGTAAACATTAACTACACACGTTACAAATTATAATAATAATGAAATATAATTTATAGTTAATTTCAAAATGTTTGTTTTGTTTTTTTTGTACTTATTAGATTGGATAGATATACAAGCGTTTAGCGTGCTTTTTAAAAACCATTGCAACAACTATGACATATACGTCAAAGAATACGCTATACAAAGGAAAGACGCTACAGCAATAAGAATAAAAGAAGAGATACAAAAGGAGGATGCCTTTGGGGAATGGCTAGGACGGGAATTAAATTAACCTGACTGGATTGTCTAATAACAGCATGTTAATAATATAACATAATTTTTAATATAATAAAAATATAATAATATATCTAGTGGTTATGTAATTTTTTTTTTTTAAATCTTTATTTAAAAAAAAATATTTAAAAATACATGTTTCATACCTAAAACAAATCTAAGGTATAAAAGATATCTATTTAATAAAATAGTTCAAAAAGAGAGAGAGAGTTTTGAAGAGTTTTATACGGCGTTACAATAACAAATTAAGAAATGTGATTACGGTGCATTAAATGATGATCTACTCACAGGTAGAATTGTGTTAGGAATTTATGACGATAAGATAAGAGTAAAATTGTTAGATGTTGAAAATTTATAATTAGATAAAGTGGTTCAAATGTGCAAAAATGCAGAACAGTGTTCAAAAGAACTCCAATAACTTAAGCAGAGTGAAAAAGAAGTTGATGTTTTAAGACAACTAAAATTTGCAAAGATGATGTACATGGGTAATACAGAAAAAGGTATGATAAGTCAGAAGAATAGTGTAAGAGAGAAGTACGACTGCTCACGGTGTGGAACACAACATGAATTTCAAAAATGTCCAACATTTAACAAAGAATGGGAAGTTTAAAACTACAACCAGGCATTTAGATGCATGTGGACTTCGACTAAATAAAGATAAATGTAAATTTGCAGTTGAAGATGTAACATTTTTAGGTCATATTATTTTAAAACATGGAATCAAAGCAGATCCAGATAAGATATCAACCATACAAAGGTTAAATAAAAAAAACTACAAAGAATAATTGGATTTGTTTATTATTTAGCAAAGTATATTATAAAGAATTATTCAAAATTAACCGAGTCTCTAAGAGTTCTACTAGGTATTGGCATCTGACATATTTTACTTTAAAATTAATCAATTTATTTTCGTTGAGGATAGTTATTCTGGTCTTTTTGAAATTGAAAAGCTGAATAAGGGAACTTCAGGAAAGTTAATTCTATTCTAAGTTATTTACCACTCATGGTAATCCAGATGTACTATTCAGTGATAACGGTACTCAGTATACAGCTCAAACTTTTAAAAAATTCACTAAAGATTGGGATTTTGAACTGAAAACAAGTAATCCTTGTTATCCTAGGTCTAATGGACTAGCTGAACGCTTTGTTGGAATAGTAAAACATATTTTAACCAAATGTGTAAAACATAATACTGATGTACATCTTGCTTTATTAAACTACCGCAATACGTCTCAAACTGCAAAATTAAAATCTCCAAACCAACGTTAAATGAGTAGAAAAACTAGTTCTTAAGAAAAAAAAAACCGTCTATAAGTCGGGTTGACATGAATTTCTTAAGACCTTGAATTTGTTGGCGTATTTCACACGTGTAAAAAAAAAATTGTGTGTTTTAATTTATATAAGCAGTGGAAATGGAAACGCATATCAAGTCACTCAAGTGTTTTACTATAGTACAAAGAAATTGTGTTTTCGAGTTGTGAACGCTTGGGCGAGAATTCGATAAATAATACTTGCATAGAAAATAATATTTTTCAATCTTACTTTTTACTTTTTAACTCGGTTTAACTTTTGAAACACATGCGCCAATGTGCTAAATTATAAAAAAAAACCTCACTCTGTAACAATTCAAATAAACTCCTATTGGTTCGTATTGGCCTGAAATGCGACTCCTAATATGTAGAAAATTTTCCACCATCTTTTATCGTCACTGCCATTTTAAATATTTTCAAATTTAGTCGACTACAAAGCAATGAGCATTTTGAAATTGATAAAATTTTATTTTATTTGGCAATAAACCCAAAATGTTTTCACCGTAGTATAAAGATAGTAGGCAATGAATCTACTGCTTATACCATAAACATAATTAAAAAAATTGTATAATGTTATAGGAATATTAGTATATAATCGGAAACAATAGCACATAACTTTTGTTATATTATTCCATTTTGTTTTTCTGAATATCGTAACATTATAGGTCTCAACTATATATTCTAATACTATGAAATATACAAATAACATAATTATAATTTGTATAAGCTTTAAAAAATTGAAATGGTCATTTGAAGAGTAGTTTTTTGAGCGAGCTATGGCTTGGTCATCGACAAATAAAAACAGCGATTACTAAAAAACGATTGAAACATGTGTATACTAACATGAGGGTATACTATTTACACTTTTTACATAACTTGGCAGCCCAGTCAATCTGTTCCAGTGGGTGAAACTGCAAAATAAGTAAATAGTGTCAATAACTACCTACTAATTATTATTATTATTAGTCAAACCAACTTTTTAGGGTTTTTTACTCAATTATAAGTGATTGAATATTTACTAAATATCCAACGTCGAGTACATAATGTATGTATATCTGTTACTTTTTTTAAATTACTGCTTTTGAATCATTTCCAATCTGTACCATTATTTCGCTCGAATTTGTTTTTTTTGGGGGTTTTTGCGAGGCCTTGTTATAATAACTTAGAAAATCTAAGGTTATCCTAGTAATATACCATACGTTAACAGTATTTTCGAATCAGATATACTTTAGATATTGTATACACAGATGTCATAACACTATGTTATTTTCAACTGCTTTGTCATTTGAATATTTAGAAAACCAAATTTAAAAAACTTTTAATAATTCATGTGTACGCAATGTACAGAAAACGACAATGTGTTATAAGTTTGGTTCAGATGACCATTGACTTTAAAGCAGAACCTTGCATAATAGATTATGACAGTTCCGTGAACTGTTTTGGCGTTTAAATCTGAACAAATATTTCGATTAATGCAAACGCGGATATTTATGTATACACAATAATAATAATCTAATAATCAAATAAGTTGTTAAAAGGCTACGGCTCTTTTAATTATATCATTAGCTTGAAACTTCAATCAAATTCTATTTTACTAAAAGAAACAAAAAATAGCTTAATATGCGTATCTAAATTTATTAACAGGTTTCTACAAGAGATTCCAAAATCACCCCAATCCTTAATCCTCTTACCGAATGGGGGTAATCACAATGACCTTAAAATAACATTGTGTTACAAAAAAAACCAAAAATTATTCACGTAGGTTGTTTTTTTTATTATTCTAGAAGACAATGGAATTTAACTATTTTTTTTTTGCTATAACGTAAATTTAGGACGAATAATATTCACTATTAATTTTTGGTTTTGTGTTAAGTTTGCCGTTTTTTTTGTTTTTAAGACTTTATAGCGCAGTGTACACAATGTCCCAATGTTCTCACTAGCTGTGCTAAATAAAAAAATGAATAACAAAATACGACATAGGTATCTTATGTGATCAACTATATACAAAAAAAAATATGAAATACGAACGAAATTCTCAAAAGTCAATATCAACAAGTAACATAATAATAATACTTACTCGTTGATAATTCCTCAAGTTATTTCTTTTTAAGTCATAGGAAAAAATCTGACCCGTAGGCCAAAATAAATGCTTGCAGATTATTCGTTTTCCACAATCTTTGCCCGAGCCTTATTTGATTTTAGCTTACAAACACTTCTTTTTTACAAGAATAGTAGGGTAGGGCTATTAAATAACACCAAAGTGAATTGAACGATAGGTACGGCACTTTCCCAACGCCGTTACTAAACTGAACCAATTAATTAAAGTCAGTTCAATTTAGAGCATGGAGCCCCGGTTTGCCATATAGTGGTATGAGGGGACCACTAGTTAGTGGTTCCCTGAGGGTAATTGTTAGGTTACATGTTTGTACTAAACACCAAACATATATTTCAAACCATGTAAACCTTGTACAATGCATAGGCTTATAAAAAAAAACAGATATGTATAATATTCTGATGGCTAAGCATATTTGTTTTGAAAAACAATGGAATTAATTAATTTTTTTTCCCTAAAAATCGCAGGAAAATATTCTTTATTTGTTTTTGTAGTTTTTAGAATTCAAATTAAATTATGTTATAATTTTTTTCAACAAAAATATTAATCTTTTTAAATTTAAATTCGGTATTAAGTTTGAACAATAGTTATTTTTACACACCAAAAATACAAATGTAGTTAAAACGTTTAAGAATATATTCCCATATTTTGTTTATTATAATAAATGAACAATTATAAAACTGAAAAATAAACGAGAATAGGAAATATATATAAAATGTACAAGCAGTATAAATATTGCTTGTCTTAGCTTTAATATAAAATAAAAATAAATAAGTAGTTAGGATTTCCTACAAAAGCGGTATAAAAGTGTAACGATCATATTTCACCTGACTAAATATTTTCCCGGCTAACCCCCGGTGATCGTCCGGTTTTACCGTTGACATGTTTTTTACACGGCACTGTCTCTGACGATCTCAGATTGACTTATTTTACTTGTTGAATAATATTTTTATTTTATCAACATCAATGAACGACTATTATGTCACGTCACACGTCGCCACACATTATGCGGCGTATTAATTTTTTCGGCTTTATAAAATAATTCCGGATTAGTTAATGAAATAATGACTGATATTCTACACGGCGTTTCGTTATCGATTAACTGTTTTTGACTATGTTCACATTAAATCGGATTTTAACGAATTTATTTTATTGACACAAGGTGTGCAGATGCAACCAATATTTTCTTTTTACGGCGATTTTATTTATATATGCATAATTTTGCGCATGCTGATTTTCGTAACTATATGAAATTATTTTGAAATAGTTTCGTTTGTTTATTTTTTATTTTAATAAAAATATTTTATTTTTCTTATGAGAACACTTACAATTTTAACGGGTACTTACGTAAAATGACGTCCGAGTTGCTTGTATTATCAAACCCAAAATGTCTGACCACATAATTGATTCTATTCTTATTTAAATGTTAATTTTCCAAAGCAATGTGTATTTAGGGGCTATATAAAATTATTTATCTATTAATTATACTGTATTTCATTAAGTATATATATATATATATATATATATATATATATATATATGTATGTCTTATTAAGTCGACTTTTATATTAAGTT